TTTTTATAATTTTTAATACTTTCATTGTATGTTTTTGTGTTAAGGTAAAGCTGACCTTCCAGAACGAGTTAGGAAGTATTCCTGTTTCTATCTTTTGAAGTCTAAGTCTATAAGCGAACAAGTGAATTAAAGATGAAAGCTGAACTACAGAGCACTTCTGTCTATCAATCTTCCTTAAGGAACTCTAAGTTGAGAAACAACTGTCTACACATCATAATGATATCCTTGGGTGCTGTAAATTTAAATACCAGCAACTGCAAGGCATCACACAAGTCATGCCTGTTTTGCCTTAATGAGAATGAATCTTTTCCTATGCTCTGGCTGACAGGAAAGAGGAAGGGTAGATCTCAAGAATATCCTCTGTGAAAAGATTGGCACTTGGCATGGCCTCATGCAAAAGAGAACAGAGGAGGTCTCCATAATATTCTTTATTGGGTGATGTAATGACTTCAGACTTTGAGGTAATTGGGACTGCTAGGGGGAGCAATCTTTGGTAGCTCGGTAGCAGCTTCCAGCTCTGAAGCCTCTTGCCAAGAATCTGTTCACTGCTGAAAGCTATCACTGGGGATTTGTTAACAGTCCCTTAGTATGCAAAAGAGTTTGGCAGCAAATATTATAATGAAAGTATTGCATCAGCCTCAGAAACCAAGAGACAATGCTGCAAGATGACATTGACCATAGCTGGTCATCTACCTTAGGAAATACAATTTTCTCTTCCCGTCTACATAAGCCAGAGGCAGGGACTGAATTCTAAGCAATCCAGAAGTAGGATTAACTCCAGAATTCATAATTGTCATCACTTTAGTACAGTTTATGGATTCAAGAAATTGTACACTAAAGAAATGCTTGGCATATCCATGTAACTTCTATTTGTTTCCTAAAAACCTATTGATTTTGAGAGTCAGGCAGATACAAGGAAGGAAAGAGAGAAAGAGGCAGACAGAGTGAGAGAGAGAGAAGTCCCACCTGCTGATTATCTCACCAAATGCCTGAAACAACTTGAGGCTAGGCCTCTGCTGAAGCCAGGAGCCAGAAACTCAATTTCAGGTACCCACATGGGAGGCAGAAATGCAATAACTTGAATCATCACTGCACTAACAGGAAACTGGATCAGAGGTGAAGAAACTGGAATCATAGGCACTCATATGGGTTGAGAGAATACCATACAGCCATTGTGCCAAATATCTGCTCCTTTAACCAGCAGTCTTTTTTTTTTTTTTAATTTGACATGTAGAGTTATAGACAATGAGAGAGGGAGACAGAGAGAAAGGTCTTTCTTCTGTTGGTTCACTCCCCAAATGGCCGCTATGGCCTGTGCTGCGCAGATCTGAAGCCAGGAGCCAGGTGCTTCTTCCTGGGCTCCCATGCGGGTGCAGGGGCCCAAGTACCTGGACATCCTGCTCTCCTGAGCCACAGCAGAGAACTGGACAGGAGGAGGAGCAACCAGGGCTAGAACCCAGCACCCATATGGGATGCCGGCACCACTGGTGGAATATTAACCAAGTGAGCCACGGTGCCAGTCCCTAACCAGCAGTCTTAACCACTAGGCCACATACCTTCCCTCATATTGGTTTGAAAATTATAAAACTGTGTTAAATCCATGAAGTAGATTCACTGTGCTTTGGTTATCAATTTCAGGTCAGATTCAACTGAAAACTAAAGAACGTCACTCTTAAATATAAGAGTGGGAATAAGAGAGTGAAGAGATGTGCAATTCGGGACATGCTCAAGCTGACTTACCTCAAACGGTAGAGTTAGAAACTTACCAGGGGATTCCAATTCAATCCCATCAAGGTAGCATGTACCAATGCCATCTCACTAGTCCTAGGGATCAATTTCTGTTCACAATTGATCATAATGATAGGACTAAGAACCAAAGGGATCACATAAACAAGACTAGTGTCTGCAAATAGTAGCTGATAGAATCAAAAAGGGAGAGAATGATCCAACATGGGAAGTGAGATACACAGCAGAACCATAGAATGGCAGATGTCCTAAACAGCACTCTGGCCTCAGAATCAGCCCTTAAGGCATGCAGATCTGGCTGAAAAGCCCATGAGAGTATTTCAGGCATGGAAAGCAAAGACACTCTGGAGAAAAAAAAAAAAAAAAAAAAAAACTAAATGAAAGATCTCTGCGAGTGAGATCCCAGTGGAAAGAATGGGTCATCAAAGAAGGAGGTACCTTTCTCTGATGGGAGGAGAGGACTTCCACTTTGACCATGGCCTTGTCTAAAAATTATCAGAGTCAGTGAACTCAGGGGGCTTCCATAGCCTTGGCAGCTCATATCAAGAGCCTAGGGTGATTACTGATGCCATAAACAAGAGTGGCAATTTGTTAAGTCAACACCAGGAGTCACTGTGCACTTACTCCTCATGTAGGATCTTTGTCTTTAGTGTGCTGTACATTGAGATTTAATGCTATCACTAGTACCCAAACAGTATTTTTCACTTTATGTTTCTGTGTGGGAGCAAACTGCTGAAATATTTACTTAATGTATGCTAAACTGATCTGTATATAAAGAGAAATGAAAATGAATCTTGAAGTGAATGGAAGGGGAGAGGGAGTGGGAAAGGGGAGGGTTGCAGGTGGGAGGGACGTTATTGGGGGGAAGCCATTGTAATCCATAAGCTGTACCTTGGAAATTTATATTCATTAAATAAAAGTTTTTTAAAAAAAGTCACTGTCAAGCACCAGAAGTAGTGTCCATTCCATTTACATTGAATCTTGGCAGTTTCTACCAGCAGCCCAAATCCACTAACACAAACATTCACAAAATTAACTAAGCCAAGAAACTTATTACTCATAGATAGCCAGCAAGGGACATTAGAAGCTTAGGATTCGTGGGGAGCTGATGGTCCAAGGTCCAGAAAAATCTACCTAGGGCAGAAGAGGGGCACCTAAACGCAATCTGCAGAGACAATTTCAGTGTCCCATTGAACATTTCCCAGTATTGTTGACTCTCAGCACTAAGTCACATCAGTGAACGGGATTTTACAGGAGTAGTGCAATGTTTACAGACTTGACCTCGCTTATATCTGCTCTTATAAATAAGGGCCTTCAGTGTAGTTTAGAACAAATACTTTATTTACTTCACTTGTAATTATAACTACATAGATCATTTTTGAGGAACAATAATTGTAGCATAATATACAATACCTCTTCCAATTTGGTTTCATTGATTTTACTCATTAATTCACTGAATTAACCTTTGTTTAATGCATCGCATATATTATTTGTAATTTTTACTATGAAAACAACGGTGGAGAACAAGATAGGCATGACCAGCATGGACCAGGTTCAAGTCAACAGCCAGGATCTTGTTCCAGGTCTCCCATGTGGGTGCAGGGGTCCTAGCCTCCACTGCATTCCCAAGCACATTAGCAGGGAGCTGGATCAGAAGTTGATCAACCCAAACTCGAACCATTGCCCAAATGGGATGCCAGCACTGTAGGCAGTGGCTTAACCCACTATGTCAAAACACTGTTTCCTCAGTCTTGTGATTTTATCATGATTCCTTGAACTTGGTACCTGATATCCCTCAGGGATGGTTTTAGGTTTGTTGAGAACTACACTCTGTGTAAGAAAGCCAGAGCTTCCTGGTGGTCCTGCTAATGATTGCTGTATTCCTAAGTGTAGGGAAGAACACTTAGTCTCATTAACCTCCAAAATGTCCATTGCTTTGTATAATTTTAATCAAGCAGAATGTTAATGTAGGAGAAAGGGTTAATGCTTTATGCAAGGTTGAACTGCTTGTGGAAAAGAATTAAAAGGCAACAGGTTCCCTGGTATATACTTCCCACTAAAATAAAGACACATATTAATAAAACTTTAACTCTATATATGCTACAAATACTACAATGGTTAGGATGTCAAAACTGTGGAATAGATCTAGTGAACATTTAAATAAGTACAATAAATAAATTAGAGTTATAGAAAGTACTTTAAAGATGGGATACATTTAAGAAGGGCCTGCTTTGAACTTGGGGCTTCTAGTAACGATTACATTAGGAAGGTACTATTTTAGCTTGTTTCGCCAATTTCTGCATAGTTCAGCAGCACTCCAGGCCTGGGCTTGTGTGGGCAGCCCGTTATCTCACACCTGTCTGTGATTGTAACCCGTGTTCTAAATACGCCCTTTAAAATCAAAGAAAATGTAATTTTTAAAAAATGGACAACAGACTTTTCATTGTAAGAAGAAAGAATCATTATGTGACATGATGTAAAAATAAGGTCTGTGCTCAAAAGCCAGAACCATGCCATCAGCATTGCTGTGAGTGTCTCTCATTTCTTTGAGCGCCAAAAGCTCTCAAACCCTGGGGCCCCTGGACTGGCTGGAGCTGGTCTCCAGCATATTATCTTCTATGAAATTGATTTTTCTCTCTTGTGAATTGTCATTTGCAATATCTCCCTCATGTGATGAAACAGAAGACAGTAAGCATATCAAGTGAAAAAGAGCCTATTATATGAAGAGTATTCAGTAAATATTTGGGGCAGTAAAATTACTTCAATAAAAATAAAACCATTAGGAAGCATCTCTTTTGGCTAACATGAGTCAATAAAACAAAATAGTAAATTTTTTCTTTCTTTTTTTAACTTTTATTTAAGAAATATAAATTTCCAAATACAACTTTTGGATTATAGCAGCTTTTCCCCCCCATAACCACCATACCGCCCACAACCATCCCATCTCCCACTCCCTCTCCTATCCCATTCTTCATCAAGATTCATTTTCAATTATCTTTATATACAGAAGATCAATTTCATGTTTACTAAGTAAAGATTTCAACAGTTTGCACCCACACAGAAACACAAAGTAGAAAGTACTGTTTGAGCACTAGTTATGCTATTAATTCACATAGTACAACATATTAAGGACAGAGATCCTACATGGGGAGTAAGTGCACAGTGACTCCTGTTGTTGATTTAACAATTGACACTCATATTTATGATGTCAGAAAATTCCCTAGATTCTAGTCATGAGCTGCCAAGGCTATGGAACCCTCTTGAGTTTGCCAACTCTCATCTTACATAGACAAGGCCATAATCATCGTGGAAGTTCTCTCCTACAAGCAGAGAAAGGTACCTCCTTCTTTGATGGCTTATTCTGTCTGCTGGGATCTCACTCACAGAGATAGTTCATATGTTTTTTTGATTTGTTTTGCTTTGTTTTTGTTTTTTGTTTTTGCCAGCGTGCCTTTGCTTTCCATGCCTGAAATACTCTCATGGGCGGTTTAACCAGATCCAAATGCCTTAGGCACTGATTCTGAGGCCAGAATGCTGTTCAGGACATCTGCCATTTAATGGGTCTGCTGTGTATCCCGCTTCCCATGCAGGATTGTTCTCTCCTTTGTAATTCTATCATTTAGTATTAGCAGACACTACTCTTGTTTATATGATCCCTTTGACACCTAATCCTATCATTATGATCAATTATGAACTGACACTGATCAATTTGACTAGTGAGATGGCATTGGTCCATGCCACCTTGATGGGATTGTATTGGAATCCCCTGGCACGTTTCTAACTCTACCATTAGGGGTGAATCTGAGTGAGCATGTGCTGAACTGTACATCTCCTCCCTCTTTTACTCCCACTCTTATATTCAACAGGGATCACTTTTCAGTTAAATTTAAAGAGCTCAGAATAAATGTGTGTTAATAAAAGAGTTCAACCAATGGTATTAAGTAGAACAAAAAATTACTAAAAGGAATAAAGTAATAACGTATATCTCGACAGTCAGGATAAGGACTGGTCAAGACATTATTTCTCATAGTGTTTTTTTCACTTCCACAGGTTTCCTTTTAGGTGCACAGTTAGTTGTCAACGATCAGGGAGAACATATGATATTTGTCCCTTAGGGACTGGCTTAATTCACTCAGCATGATGTTTCCTGATTCCTCTATTTTGTTGCAAAGACTGGATTTCATTTTTTATTGCTGTATAATATTCTACAGAGTACATATCCCATAATTTCTTTTTTTTTTTTTATAGGCAGAGTGGACAGTGAGAGAGAGAGACAGAGAGAAAGGTCTTCCTTTGCCGTTGGTTCACCCTCCAATGGCCGCTGCGGCCGGCGCGCTGCGGCCGGCGCACCGCGCTGATCCGATGGCAGGAGCCAGGAGCCAGGTGCTTCTCCTGGTCTCCCATGGGGTGCAGGGCCCAAGCACCTGGGCCATCCTCCACTGCACTCCCTGGCCACAGCAGAGGGCTGGCCTGGAAGACGGGCAACCGGGACAGAATCCGGCGCCCCGACCGGGACTAGAACCCGGTGTGCCGGCGCCGCTAGGCGGAGGATTAGCCTATTGAGCCGCGGCGCCGGCCCATATCCCATAATTTCTTTATCCAGTCTTCTGTTTATGGGCATTTATGTTTATTCCAGGTCTTAGCTATTGTGAATTGAGTTGCAATAAACATTAAGGTGCACACAACTCTTTTATTTGGCAAATAAATTTCCTTTGGGTAATTTCCAAGGAGTGGGATGGCTGGCTTGAATGGTAGGTTTATATTCAGGTTTTGAGGACTCTCCAAACTGAGTTCCATAGTGGCTTTACCAGTCTGCATTCCTACCAACATTGGGTTAGTGTCCCTTATATCCCCACATCCTCACCATCATTTGTTGTTGGTAGATTTCTGTGTGTAAGCCAATCTAACCGGGGTGAGGTGAAACCTCACTGTGGTTTTGATTTGCATTTCCCTGATTGCTAGTAATCCTGAACATTTTTGTCATGTGTCTGCTGGCTATTTGAATTTCCTCTTTTGAAAAATGTCGATTTAGGTCCTTGCCCCATCTCTTAAGTGTGTTGTTTGTTTTGTTGTAGAGTTTCTTGATCTCTTTGTAGATTCTGGTTATTAATCCTTTATTGGTAGCATAGTTTGCAAATATTTTTCCCGTTCTCGTGCTTGACTAAGTTGCCATCCTTCCAGGCTAAATAGGTAAATCAAAAGTTAAATAAATTACAAAATCTCCTGTGCCTCCGTATGAATTTCAGTATATTTTTTTTCCAGATCTGAGAAATACGTCTTTGGTATTTATATTGGTATTACATTGAATCTATAATTGCATTTGGGAGAATGGACCAAAATATTAAATTTTTATAATCTGAGAGGTAGCATTCATTGTTATTTTTTTCTGTTTTTTTTTTTTTTTTTGATTTGTTTTGTTTTCTTTTTGAGAGGCAGAGTTTAGACAGTAAGAGAGAGAGAGACAGAGACGAAGGTCTTCCTTCCATTGGTTTACCCCCAAGTGGCTGCTATGGCCAACGCACCGTACCTATGCGAAGCAGGAGCCAGGTACTTCCCCCTGGTTTCCCATGCGGGTGCAAGGCTCAAGGAACTGGGCCAACATCCACTGCACTCCTGGGCCACAGCAGAGAGCTAGACTGGAAGAGACAGAACCCGGACCCCCAAGCGGGACTAGAACCCTGGGTGCCAGCACATCAGGCGGAGGATTAGCCTATTGAGCCACGGCACTAAACGTGGTAGTGTTCATTGTAAACATTCATTCTCAGAATCATGCTATAAAGTTGAGGCTCATTGGGAACAGACATTTATGGCACACAGAACAGACCCTCTGGCAGAACAACACACTGCCTTCCTAGGGTTATCTTAGAAAAGAAATATAAGTCTATTACAGGAGCTGGAAAATGTGTTTCCTAACCAGAGAGGGGTGACTAGGGCCTTGTGTGTGAGAAAACCTCTGTCTTAGAGCCTCACTTCCATTATCAACAACTGTTGCCTCACACTGTTGTGTTGTACATCACTCCCCTCACTGTCCATTTTCATTGTTCTTCCTTTGATTTGATGCTATCCTGCTTGAGGCACCCAACACACAAAATCTTATTAGCTATGAGTATGATTAAGTTGCCATCCTTCCAGGCTAAATAGGTAAATCAAAAGTTAAATAAATTACAAAATCTGAGATGCTTCTGAGCAAGAAAAGAAGAAACACCTCAGTGAATAAAAATGCCTAGAGTACCAACATCTTGTCTCATTATATCTTAAGATAATCCCTCTGGAATACAGAAAGAAGGTTTTTGTTTTTTTTTAAGTATTTATAAGAAGGCTGCATTCAAAAGGGAACAGACAGATTTGACACCAATTGAATGTCTTCTAATAGGTAAGTGCAGATTATTTCCCACTTTTGAGCTCAGAGATTTATCATTACCGCATAACCCAATATAAATTTAATATGAATATTTCCATATGTTTTGTGATTGTTTCCTCATTCCCTGAGAAATGAACATGAAAATGAGTAACAATGTTTTTGAATATTTACTGTGATTCTAATAGAATGGAATATAATCTTTGGAATAAAACAATCTGTCATTTTTTTTTTTTTTTTTGACAGGCAGAGTGGACAGTGAGAGAGACAGAGACAGAGAGAAAAGTCTTTCTTTTCCGTTGGTTCACCCTACAATGGCTGCTGTGTCCAGCGTGCTGTGGCTGGTGCATCACGCTGATCCGAAGCCAGGAGCCAGGTGCTTCTCCTGGTCTCCCATGCGGATGCAGGGCCCAAGCACTTGGACCATCCTCCTCTGCACTCCCAGGCCACAGCATAGAGCTGGACTGGAAGAGGGGCAACCGGGACAGAATCTTGCGCCCCGACCGGGACTAGAACCCAGTGTGCCGGAGCCACAAGGTGTAGGATTAGCCTATTTAGCCATGGCACCGTCCAATCTCTCATCTTAAATATGAATGCTCATCAGGTCTGTGATGAGCCCTTATTGCCATGTGGGTAGAGAAGGATGCACTACATGCCATGTGGTTTACCACAATTTCTGTAGAGGTAGTAGACCTTAGAGAGAGTCACAAAGTCTTGCCATATAGAAGGGAGCTTGCAGGATGAGCCCTCACCCAGAATTACAGGCAACAAAACTTAGAAGAGTTCATGACTGATGAAAAATTATGGAAAGAGATTAATAGAGAATGATGACTTTGGCAAAGATTTTGGAAAATATCATATTTTCAATTTCAGTGAACATATTTCAATGCATTATATGTCACAAGGTAGACATTGTTGCTCCTTGCAGGTTTCTTTTTTTTATTATTATTATTATTATTTTTTGACAGGCAGAGTGGACAGTGAGAGAGAGAGACAGAGAGAAAGGTCTTCCTTTGCTGTTGGTTCACCCTCCAATGGACGCCGCAGTCAGCGCGCTGCAGCCGACGCACCGCGCTGATCTGATGGCAGGAGCCAGGTACTTATCCTGGTCTCCCATGGGGTGCAGGGACCAAGCACTTGGGCCATCCTCCACTGCACTCCCGGGCCATAGCAGAGAGCTGGCCTGGAAGAGGGCCAACCGGGACAGAATCCGGCACCCTGACCGGGACTAGAACCCATTGTGGCGGCGCCGCAAGGTGGAGGACTAGCCTAGTGAGCCGTGGCACTGGCCCTCCTTGCAGGTTTCTAAAGAGAATTAATAATGTGATTTGCATTCAACATACACCAGATATTCAGTTAGAAGAGAGGAATTATATTTTCATACAAAATTCAGAACAAACATGATATTGAGTAGGGTAAAACTGTATAATTAGGGTGACAATTTGGACAGAAGTGTAGCTAGAAATATTTTGGGTAAAAAACTCTCATTTACTCAATATTTATCCCTGCAAAATCTTATTTAAATTATCAGTTTATCAACATTGGCCCCTCTACAACATTCATGGTTTCTTTCAAAATGAAAAATAATTAAATATTGACATGAGAGGTGGAATGGTTAGATACTGAAAATGTATGTAACTAAAACTGAATTTTATTTATTTATTTATTTATTTGACAGATTTATAGACAGTGTGAGAGAGAAAGAGAAGGAGAGAAAGGTCTCCCTTTCATTGGTTCACTCCCCAAGTCGCCACAACAGCTGGAGTGCCGCTGATCCGAAGCCTGGAGCCAGGTGCTTCTTCTTGGTCTCCCAGGCGGGTGCAGGGTCCCAAGCATTTGAGCCATCCTCTACTGCCCTCCTGGGCCACAGCAGAGAGCTGGACTGGAAGAGAAGCAACCTGGACTAGAAAAGGCACCCACATGGGACGCCCGTGCTGCAGGCTGAGGATTAACCAGGTGAGCCATGGAGCCGGCCCCAATACTGAATCTTATGACAACCTTTGATTCTCAGCCAAGTCCATTTTCCCCAACATCTCTTTATCAGATAGCTGGAATCATGCAGTGAGGTTCTCAAGGAGGGTCAATTGTATCCCTCTTTCATTTAAGCTTCTGAGGGATAAAAGGTTTGGGTATACCTGTTAATGTTCCCATAATATGGTGACTTCTGCAAAACAATAGAAGGTGTGGATTTCTTTCAGAGAGAGAAATCTAACATAACTGAATGTAGAGGGAATGCCCTTTTGAAAAAGAATCCTACAGGAGCAGCCACTCCTCCTGCTCTTGTTTGTGTCTGCAGTGCAATATAGAAGTAGAAAAGAAGCCACCTAACACTGCATTGCCCAATCGTTTATTCTCCACCTTTCCTTTATTAATTTTATTTCAACCATTCTGTTAACTACAATACAAACACAATATTACTGTTTTAACTACTGTAGGCATTTTAAACTTCCCTAAACTTTATTTGTAGTTCTAGAAAATGTACTATAAGTACATATGCTATTATGTCTGAAAATCATTACAACATACTTTTGTGTTGGTTTCCTTTGAGAACCTGTACCCCCCCCCCCCAAAAAAAATGGGAATGGAATAACACACATAGAAATCCAAGAAACTCTACATCAGTTTGAAAAGGATTGAAAAATGTCAGGTTCTCCTTTTATTCCTTTAGGGCCAAGCATTTTTTTTTTTTCTTTAAAGAAACTCTTCAGACAATTTCATGTGTGTCAGAGTTTCAGTGTCTTTCATAGTCATTAGCTGTTGTGCAGAGTATAATAATTTCTACTCCAGGTTTTAGAGCTGATTCATTAAATTATTTAAAGTTACCCTCAGTTTTGCTTTTGTTTTTGTTTTTCCTGAATTTATAAACTATCTCTCTTCCATTCATCAGAGATAAATGACCACAGTAAATTAATGATATGAATGTGTTTTGTGATCAAAACATTACAAAAATAAGCATTTAAATGTTGTTATATATTAAAAGTGATGAGGTGCTCAATTTTAAAATATTTAATAAGTTCTTACATGGTACAATACAATTAGTTTGAATCTGTGGGAAATAACATCCTTAGAATTATATGGTTTTCCAGTATTCCAATTCCAGTGTGGAAGTCAAGAAAGTACGCAACTAATTTCTTATAAACAAAAGTATATAAAATTCTCAGAAAAAAATATTGTGAAAAAAGCATTTACAGAGCAGTGAATTTCCAAAATCAAAAGATATTCCTTGATTTCCACCCAGAAGTAATTTGTCAGCTAGATCTCAAAGTTTTGAAAGAGTTGAAAGTTGGAAATGGAAAGATATTCCAAGAAAAAGGACAATTGATTATTCATTAACTAATGAAGATCTGCAATGACTAACAAGCTAATGAAATCACAGCACAATTTATCTTAAAAACTAATGCCCAAATATATAAATATCTAAGATATGGAATCAATCCAGATGTCCATCATTTGATGACTGAATAAAGTAAAATCTTTATATAATGGAATACTACTCAGCCATTAAAGTAATAACATTTTTCTTTCACAGCAAAATGGATAAAAATGAAGATTATTATGCTTGGTGACACAAAAAAGCTATCCCCCCCAAAAAATATATTTTCTCTGATTTGTGTAACTAATACATAGAGTACTAAAAAATGTAACATATATGAAGGAAGTTGATGTCTTGAGATTTGATTATTGTTTATAACTCCTGCATATACTCCTGAGGAAGAGTAGTTTTCCTACTACTACTCATTGAAGTCTTTATTTATTGAAAGAATAAGCTTAACTAAACTGAAATTAAACAAAAATTGAAATAAAAAGAAAGGAAGGATGAAGGAGAGTAGGAGCAAGAGAGAGAGAGAGAAAGTTGAAAGATATTATGTTTTTAAAACTGTATATATGAAATACATAAAATATGTTATTTTTATATAACTAAACAGTATTTTAAAAACAATAAAAATAAAAAGTTTGTTATAAAAATGGACAGTATAATGAGGTTGATAGCAAACAAAGCCAAAGTTACGTACTCAAATGAATGGCTGAAATCATAATCTGTTGCAAAAAGCAATTCTTTCACAGCATCTTCTCTCCAAAATCTGCCATGTTTTCAAGTATAAACATCCAATGAGAGATCATTCGTTCAAATGAATTAAGATGAGTGATCTTATTGTAATTCTTAAACTGAAGCTCAGTTCCCTTAAAGTTTAAGATTCTTCACAAATACCAGACATTTAAAAGGGAATTTTTTAAAATTCTTAGCAATCCAAAGTGAATATCTCATTAGACATTTTCCTAAAAGTATAATTTTGGTTTGAGGGGAAAAATGGATATTTCAAATCTGTTGAAGAGGGGAAAGATGACACACATACACACATATATACATGATTTTAGAATTTCAGAATATATACACAAACATATGGAATTTCAGAAAGTCGACATATATTGATATATATAAATTTTTTTGTCTATTTTAACTATCACATTTTGTATTTAACCCAACCTACAACTCTCCAAACAATGTACTGAAGGTAGGAATGGGATTGGGAAAAACTTCAACTGGAAATGTGAGTCTTCAAGGCTGCTTTAAAATATATCACATTTCACCTTCTTATTGCATTTAACATTCCTTTGTGATGATCTCATCTAGACAAGAAACACCTAGAAAAATATTTTTGGCTGGTGCCGAAGCTCACTTGGCCAATCCTCCGCCTGCGGTGCTGGCACACCGGGTTCTAATCCCGGCTGGGGTGCTGGTTCTGTCCCTGTGGCTCCTCTTCCAGTCCAGCTCTCTGCTGTGGCCCAGAAAGGCAGTGGAAGATGGCCCAAGTGCTTGGGTGCTTCACCCGCATGGGAAGGAAACCAGGAGGAAGCACCTGGCTCCTGGTTTTGGATCAGCGCAGCGCGCCGGCAGTGGCAGCCAATTGGGGGGTGACCCAACAGAAAAAAAGGAAGAACTTTCTCTCTGTCTCTCTCTCTCACTAACTCTGCCTGTCCAAAAAAAAAAAAAAAAAAGAAAAATATTTTTAATTTTTTTTTACTTGTATGAGATGAACAAATTTCATGTGTTCATATATACATATTTAGGAGCATAGCGATACTTCTCACTCTACCCTCCCTCCTGTCCAAGCTCAATCCCTCTCCCCTCTTTCTTTAATATTATTTTTCAATTTTTTACATTTACATAGTTTCATTTTATTTTATAATCATTAATCTTCCACAAAATAAGAGATTCAACAAATAGTAAGAAAAAATAAAACACTGATTTTGTTCTTGAAAGTATAGTTCATGCTATTTTTTTCTCACTGGAAAAATAAATATTCATTAAAAGAAGCAACACTTCAAAGTTTAGCAATAATTACATTTGCCAGAAGAGAAAAGAACTTGAAAGAAAAAATTAGCTACTACCCACCTTTTCCTAAACCACATCTATCTTCCTCCTCTCTGAGAATGTAGAGTTTTCAGATAGCTGAATAATGAAGAACTCTACTGGAGATGGCAACCAAAATCTGATCATATACCAACTGCCTTGTGATAACCCTACAGCCACCTCAGGTAAATTGCTTAAGCTAAATACTTGAATTCTGAAATCATGAACAACTACTTAATAACGCTATTTCTGCTTCAATTAAATATAACCTAATAGAATATGAATACGCTAAAGGGTGCTTTTCAGAATGAAGTATTATTAACCATCAGAGAATATTCATTTATGTCTATTAGTATATTCCACGTACTGAGTATCTTAGAGTATCAAGATAGCACCAGTTGATTTAGAGACTTTAATTGTCTCTTGTTCCTCTTTTCAAGCTGGAATATCTGAAGATATGCAGTCCATATTTATTAACATTTATTTATTTATTAATTTATATTTATTAATTATACATTGTATATATTATAGACATTATACATTATATATGATACGTATTAATATTACATACTTATTCCAACATAATAATGAATACATAATAAATTAATATATGTAGAGTTAAGACAATTTTCTGGGATGAGAGTGATTTATAAATTTATGTCTATATCATGAAACTCTAAGTACAGATACCATATATACTAAATCCTCAGTGATATGCCATTTGAAGCACAGGTTCCCAAGATTTACTAAATATAAAGAAAATAAAGGAAATAAGTAAGAGAATTGTATCTTAATTTTTCATTCATTGAATTGGCAAAATCAATTAGAAACTCATCAAGGTTAACAAGACTTTGTATTTGCGCCATGTAATAGGAAATTATCACATTCATAAACTTAATTGAGACTCATAATGACATTATAAAATAGCCATTAAAATTGAGGAGGAAATTGTTGAAGTGAGTTTTTAATAATTAGAATAATGTTTTAGGGGCTGATGCTCTGGCTTGCGGGTTAAACCACCACCTGAAGTGCTGGCATCCCATTTGAGTGCCAGCTTCAGTTCCATCTGAGGTACTTCCAATCGAACTCCCTACTAATGCACCTGGGAAAGCAATGGAGGGTGGTCCAAGTTCTTGGGTCCCTGAACCCATGTGAGAGACCCAGAGGAAGCTCTTGGCTCCTGGCTTCAGCTTGGCACAAGCCCTAATGGTTTGGCCATTTGAGGAGTGAACCAGTGGATAGAACAGTCTCTCTCTCTCTCTCTCTCTCTGTAACTCTGCTTTTCAAATAAATAATTTAAAAATCTTTCAAAAAAGGAATTTTAACAATTAAAATATTTCTGAAGGGAATAATTTTACTTAAAATATTTCATAATTATTTACATCAGATGGTAAATTGATGCCTTTATTTCTTGCAGATAAATAATTGCAAACTTGCCCCTTCTCATTCATGACATCATGCAGCTAAATAATAATGTGACTGAATTCATTCTGCTTGGAATGACACAGGATCCTATTAGGAAGAAAATAGTGTTTGCCATTTTCTTGCTTATCTACTTGGGCACGTTGTTGGGTAACTTGCTGATTCTTGTTACCATCAAGACCAGTCAGGCTCTTGGGAGCCCAATGTACTTCTTTCTTTTCTACTTATCCTTATCTGATACTTGCCTCTCTACTTCCATAGCTCCTAGAATGATTGTGGATGCACTTTTGAAGAATACTACTATTTCTTTCAGTGAATGCATGACCCAAGTCTTTTCTGCCCATATGTTTGGCTGCCTGGAGATCTTCATCCTTGTCCTCATGGCTGTTGACCGCTATGTGGCCATCTGTAAGCCCTTGCACTACATGACCATCATGAGCCACAGGGTATGTGGTGTGCTGGTGGCTGTGGCCTGGGTGGGGTCCTGTGTGCATTCTTCAGCACAGATTTCCCTTGCCTTGAGTTTACCTTTCTGTGGGCCTAATGTGATTGATCACTATTTCTGTGACTTGCAACCGTTGTTGAAACTTGCCTGTGCAGACACCTATGTGATCAACCTACTCCTGGTATCCAATAGTGGGGCCATTTGCACAGTGAGTTTTGTCTTGCTGATGTTCTCTTATGTGATCATCCTGCATTCTCTGAGGAACCACAGTGCTGAAGGGAGGAGAAAAGCCCTCTCTACCTGCATGTCTCACATCATTGTGGTCATCCTGTTCTTTGGTCCTTGCATATTCATATACACACGCCCTGCCACCACTTTCCCTATGGATAAGATGATAGCTGTATTTTATACAATTGGAACACCATTGATCAATCCTCTGATTTATACACTGAGAAATGCAGAAGTGAAAAATGCCATGAAGAGACTGTGGAGCAAGAAGTTGATCTCAGATGACAAAAGATGAATAAAGGTTTTAAATCCTTCTTAAAGGTTTCAAATTATATAGAACACACTTAAGACTATCTGTTATTCTTTTTTTGTGGATTTAATATAATCTTAAATTGGGTTATAGGATTAGGGTCTTCAAAAAATAGACAATCTGAAAATATCAACTAGGTATTTTGAGTCACTTATGTAGTGAAGGATATAGCATGAGATACAAATATTTATGTGAAGTCAATAGCTTTTCCTGTTTTTCACTGTCATCATCATCTTCTTATAGTTTCCCTGATACATGCTCATATCCACAGCCTAGAACAGGGGGTGCACCTGCTTGAACTGATATGAGTTGAACCTGAATAGGTAAGAAAGCAAGAGTAACTTGATGAATGCTTCAAATGAATGAATCTGTGTTTCCTACCACCCACCTCTGTTAAATTAATGCTTCCCTCTCAACTATCAAGTTTGGCCTTGTAGGAAGTATCCTTTTATCAACTGACAGAGAAAGAAAGTATTCTGGCATGGTTTACACAAAGGGAACCAAAATACACTAGAATTAACCTGAAAAGAACAGCTGACTAGCATAGCCTAATTAATGGATAGTCTTAAAGGTAAGTAATGAAAGAAATTTCTGCTAGTGGACCAATCTCTGAAATAAATTTGTTTTTCACTTTGTATAGTATGGAAGCATCTTGCATTATGAAAATGAACTCACTCAGAGACAGTGTCAGACACCTTGACTGTTGATTAGAAATCTGGAATGTAAAAAAGAATGAACAAGATGCTCTTGAAAAGAGTTATGTTGGGGCTGGCACTGTGACATAGCAAGTTAAGCTGCCACCTGCAACACTGGCAATCCATATGGGTGCCAGTTCCATTCCTGGCTGCTCCACTTCAAATCCAGCTACTTGCTAATGCACCTGGAAAAGCAGTGTAAGATGTTCCAAATGTTTGGGCCTTGCCCCTATGTGGAATGACTTAGATAATGCAAAAGGACAAAACTCAAAAGAGAAAGGAAGAAAGGAAAGAAGGAAGGAAAGAAGGAAGGAAGGAGGAGAGAGAGAGAGAGAGAGAAAGAGAGAAAGGAAGGAAGGAAGGAAGGAAGGTAGGTAGGAAGGTAGGAAGAGGGAGAGGAAAGAGTGAGGGAATAATTGAAATATCATTATATTCTTATAAGTGTATCTATGAAGCACATAGAAGCTGTTGTGTTTGCATTAATGTTACATTAGCATGAGAACTGTAGTAATTATCAAGAGTTTACTGTGATCCTGAGAATATAATATATTAAATTTCTTGAAATATATATGTATATAATTTTAAAAAGAAAAGAAATTATAAATAATTTAGATGTAGGAAATCCAATGTAGCTGAACAGGGTGGAGCCACTCTGACTACAGCTTTCTTAGGATAAGAAAAATAAACAAAGGAAGGACTACGTTGCCAGAGTTCTGACTGACAGAAGTGACAGAGCAGAATGAAAACTCTTGGGTACAGTGAGTAAAGAGGACAGAGATGCTGCTGTGGCTGACCCCACAGCACAGCCATCCACCAACTGGGAATCACCATCTTGACAAGTCAAGGTAGGAAAAAGTTGCTGTGCCCACCATCCACAGGGTTAGCTGAGGAGGAATTCCACAGTCTCCCTGACCAGCTGATTGTGGTCTGAGCAACTGCTCGGCTCTGAAAAAGGAAGCTACACTCACTGTGTCTATTCCATCTCACTGTTGCAGAGCACCAGGATCAGCTGTGGAGATTGTTTAACTGAATTCTGCACCACTGCTGCCAGAAATGACAAGTCAGAGTCAGGGCACCTTGGAGGACAGAGGACAAAGTCCTTGCATTCTGCAACTGTGAGATTTTAGGCATAAGGATCCAGTGGAGTTTCTCTTAGCTTCTGGGGGCTACCGGGGGTAGCAGCCCATAAATCTTCTCCCAACCTGGGAAATTGAGTAATGACCCAGTTGTACTCTGCAACACCGTGACTGTCATGATCAGTGCTAATTTCCTCAGTCTTAATGGAATCTACCTAGTGGACCTAGGGAAGACCCTTCTTGTATTCCAACTCTGTGGGCGCTTACCTGCCAAAACAAAACCTACTGCTTACCTGGTGGGATTGCAGCAGGTTTCAGGTCACATCCTCCAGGGCTGTTAGTGTCATAAGCAGCACCAGTTGCACTCTGCATGAAGGACCCGAGGAAGGGTCCGCTTACATCACACAGTCCCATAGTCACAGAAATTGGGGCCACAAACCCAGGCATTACTCAGGCTTGCCACTGGGACAAGGGGACGACCTCCTTTGTCTCCCTCAGCACCAAGAACAAGTCCATTGCTATCACATTCACCACTATGATTGACACTGGACTCTCTGTGGACTGAAGATGCACATCCTAGGAAACCCACATTTATCTCAAAGTCACACTTATACTCCTGTGTACCGTAGCAGACAAGAGCACTCTGTCGCACAGCTAACATTGATTAAAGCAAAAGAAATCACGTAGGGACTGTATTTCTGAGCTCACCTACAAAGAAAGCCAAGCAAGTAAAACTCTGTATCCTATCTAAATCATATAAACTCTTTTACAATGAAATTTACTCCATAAAAAGGAGGCTATCACACCAGATGCACAGACAGCAACATAAGAGCACAGGAAACATGAAGTAGTAAGGTAACATTACACCTCCAAAAGAACATAACAGTTCTCCATAATTAGATCATGACCTGAAGGAAATCTCTGAAGTACCAGAAATAGAATTAAAAATAAGAGAGTATCGATAGACAGATGAATGAAATGACAAAATTAATGAGAGATATGATTGAAAATATCACTAAGGAGATATAAATCATTAAGAAGAAAAATGGAAACTTTATAGATGAAACCTTTAATTTATTAAACAAAATTATAATAATTGAGATATTTAAAGCAGAATAAACCATGTGGAGAAAAGAATTTCTGACCTTGAGTACAAGACATTTGAAATAAGCACAAGAATTAAGAAAATCTACAAGAATATTGAGTATCAGAGCCAGTGCTATGGTGTAATAGGTAAAGCCACCGCCTGCAGTGCTGGCATCCCATATAGGCATCAGTTCAAGTCCCAGCTGCTCCCCTTGCAATCCAGCTTCCTGCTAATGCATCTGGAAAACAGCACAAGATAACCTAAATATTTTGGACCCTGTTCCCATGTGGGAAATGCAGAAGATCCTGGCTCCTGGCTTCGGGTCAGACAGCTCTGGCCATTGTGGCCATTTGGGGAGTGAACCAGTGGATAGAATATCTCTCTCTCTCTCTCTCTGACTCTCCCTTTCCTTCTCCCCCTCCCTCTCCTTCTCTCTGCCTTTCCTTCTCTCTCTGTTTAACTCTGACTTTCAAATAAATAAATAAATCTTTAAAAAAAGACACAGACTGAATGAATTAAAAAAACAAAACCCATATATTTGCTGCCTACAAGAAATACTTTTCACTAACAAAGGTACATGCAAACTGAAAGTGAAAGGATGGAAAAAGATATTCCATGCTAACAGAAACCAAAAGAGCTGGTGTAGCCATCCTAATATCAGACAAAATAGACTTTAACACAAAAACTTTTCAAAGAGACAACAACCTAAGAAGACAATCTACATCACTATAGTAATATATGACTATTATAAACATTTATGCACCTAATTTCAGGACCCCTGGCTATTTAAAGAAATATTAATGGATCTAAAGGGGGACATGGACTCAATACAATAGTAATTCAATACCATTGGAGACTCTCAACGGAGACTTCAATACCCCAATTTCAGCAACTGACAGATCAATCAGACAGAAAATCAGCAAGGAAAAAAAGAGTAGAGTTAATTGACACAATAGACCAAATGGACCTAACAGATATCTATAGAACTTCCCATCCTATTGTCAAAGAACACAGATTCTTCTCACCAGTGCATGCATCATTCTCTAGGATACACCACATACTAGGCCTTAAAGCAAGACTCAGAAAATTCAAAAAATCAAAATCATACCACACATCTTCACTCTCCACAATGGAATGAAGCTGTAAATCAACAACTCAAGAATCTCTAGAACATATGCCAACACATGGATATTGAACAACATGCTCCTCAATGAACAGTGTGTCACTGAAAAAATAAAAAAGAAATCAAAAAATTTCTGGAAACAAATGAATATGACAATACAACCTATCAAACATTATGGGATACTGCAAAAGCAGTGTTAAGAAGAAAGTTTATAGCAATTGTGGCTACATCAAGAAATCAGAAATGCACCAAATAAACGAGCTATCAGTGCAACTCAAGATCTTAGGAAAACAATAGCAAACCAAACTCCAAACTAGTAGGAGAAAAGAAATCATTAAAATTAGAGAAGAAATCAACAAAATTGAAATCAAAATATATATAAAAGATAAGAACAACGAAGAGCTGTTTTTTTGAAAAAAAAATAAGAATTGATATACCATTGGTCTACCTAACAAAAAAAGGAGGGAGAAGACCAAAATCAATAAAATTTGAGGTGAAAAAGGAAATGGAACAAGAGGCACCACAGAAATAAAAAATAATCATCAGAAATTACTATAAACAGCTGGATGCCAACAAACTGGGAAACCTGAAATAAATAGATAGGTTCCTGGACACACACAGAGTACCTAAATTGAGCCATAAAGACATAGAAAACCTAAACACACCAATACCAAGACAGAAATTGAATCAGTGATAAAGGCCCTCCCAACAAAGAAAAGCCCAGGAACAGATGGCAGATGGCTTCACTGCTGAATCATACATTTAAAAAAGAACTAACTCTAATTCTTCTCAAGGTATTCAAAACAGCTGAAAGGGAGGAAATGCTCCCAAACTCCTTCTATGAAGCCAGCACCACCTTAATTCCTAAACCTGAAAAAGATACAACAGAGTAAGAGTACTGCAGCCCAATTTCTCTAATGAACATAGATGTTCAAAATACTAGCCAATCTAATCCAACACACATCAGAAAGATCATTAACTTGGACCAAATGGGATTTATCCCTGGTATGCAGGGATGGTTCAACATTCGCAAATCAATCAGTGTGACACATCACAATAACAAATTGAAGAATAAAAACCATATCTCAATAGATGCAGAGAAAGCATTTGGAGAACTACAATACCCTCTCATGATGAAAACTCTAAGCAAAATGAGTATAGAAGAAACATTCCTCAACACAATCAAGGCAATTTATGACAAACCCACGGCATTGTCCTATCGAATGGGAAAAAGCTGCAAGAATTCCCACTGAGATTAGGAACCAGAAAAGGATGCCCACGCTCAACACTGCTATTCAATATGGTACTAGAAATTTTAGCTACAGCCATTAGGCAAGAATAAGAAATCAAAGGGATACAAATTGGGAAGGAGGAAGTCAAACTATCCCTATTTACAGTTGACTTTATTCTATACATAAAGGATCCAAACAACTGCACTAAGAGACTACTGGAATTCATAAATGAGCTTGGTAAAGTGGCAGGGTATAAAATCAACACACAAAAATCAACAGCCCTTGTATACATAGACATTGAAACAGCTGAGAAAGAACCTCTAAGATGAATCTCATTCACAATGCCTACCAAAAACATCAATTACCTTGGAATAAATTTAGCTGAGGATGTCAAAGATCTCTATGATGATAATTATAAAACATTAAGGAATGAAATAGAAGAAGATACAAAAAAATGATGTCTTCCATGTTCATGTGTTGGAAGAATCATTATCTTCAAAATGTGCATACTACCAAAAGCAATTTACAGATTCAATGTTAAATCAATCAAAATACCAAGGACATTCTTCTCAGATACTGAGAAAACACTAAAACATTACTGAAATTCATACAGAAATACAGGAGAACCCAAACTGCTAATGCAGTCTTATACAACAAAAACAAAGATGGAGGCAACAGTATATCAGATTTCAATACATACTATAGGGTATTTATAATTAAAATATGGGGATATGTCCTCCATGGAATTCTATACAGTGTTTATAAAAAAAGAAATAAAATCTTGTCATTTGCAACAGAATGGATGAAATTGGAAAACATTATACATAGTGAAACAAGCCAGTCCCAAAAGGACAAATGCTGTATGTTTTACCTGACTAATAGAGGTGCTACAAGACAATCTGTAGAAGTGAAATTGACACTTTGAGAAGCAATGACTTTGAACAGCTCTTGTCTTGACTGTTGAGGGACAGTTTTGTTTTTTTTATACCATTTGTTGAACTCTATTTAACACAGAGTTATCCACATGTGTATAAATTTAATTGAATTTAGATCTTAGTAAAAAATAAGAAGGGGAATAGGAGAGGGAGGAGGAAGAGGATTAGGAGAACGGGGTGGGTTACAGTGGGAAGAATCACCATGTTCCTAAATTTCTAATGTTGAAATGTATGAAGTTTGTATTCCTTAAATAAAAGGTTTCTTGGAAAGAAAAACTTATGGGTTGCGAGAAAAGCAGTGTTAATAGGAAAGTTTATAGCAATCATTTGAAATACATCAAATAAATGATCCAGCAATGTATTTCAAGGACTTAGAAAATCAAGAACACAACAAACCCAAGAATAGTAGGAGGAAAGAAATTATAAAGTTCGAAATTCAACGCACCCCAGCCTGGATCAGCTGAACCCCAGTTTACTCAAAGACACATGAAACAGATCTAAATGCCTATTGCATTTGCTCTGAGTTTTAGAGTATATTTTACATATATTGTAGAGCTTGGTTAAAAACTTGATGTACAAACTATGTAAGTGAAAATTCAGAGGCTAATTCTTGATTTAATAAAGTCACCAATATATTTAGCACAATGTGCTTCAAAAATATTTTAGTTATTTATTTATACAAAAGGCAGAGTAAGAGAGAGAGAGAGATCTTCCATATGCAGGTATACTCTCCAAATGGCTGCAAGAGCCAGAGTTGGGCTAGGTCAAAACCAGTGGCCAGGAAATCCATCACAGCCTCCCGTGTAGGTGGCAGGAGCCCAACCACTTGGGCCATCTTCCTCTGCTTTCCTAGCTACGTTATCAGAGAGCTGCATTAGAACTGGAGTGTCTGGGACTTGAACTGGTGCTCTGGTAAGCGATGCAAGCATTGCAAGTACCACTTAGATTACTGAACCACAGCACCAGTCCCAGTGTAATTACTTTGAAAACAGAAGTGAAAAACATGCTGAGCTATAGAAAAGGGAAAGCATCTAACCTTGTTTACATACAAAAGGGCAAATCTTAAATACCCAACAAGAGGGCCAGCCTCACTCACTATTTCATTCTTGATTCACACAGAGGAAGAAATGGACAAAGGGGCCAGCATTACGGTATTACGAGCTGCTCTGCTGCCTGCAATGCTGGCATCCCAGATGGGTGTCAAATTGAGATCTGGATGCTCCATCTCTGATCCCACTCCCTGTTGGTGCATGGGGACACAGAAGCCGATAGCTCAACTCCTTGGGTCCCCTGGCTCCTGGGTTCTGCCTGACCCTGCCCTGGATGTTGTGGCCATCTGGGGAGTGGACCAGAGGATGGAAGAGTTCTTTCTGTGTGTCTCTGGCTTTCTCGCTCTCTCTCTCTCTCTCTCTCTCTCTCTCGCTTTCTCTCACTTTCTCTCTCTGTAACACTGCCTTTCAAGTAAGTAAAATAATTTTTTAAAAATTTTTACAGAATATTAGCCACAGCTTGGTAGATTCTCTTTCATCATTTATTTGTTGAAAAATTTTAAGGTAAGAGTTAATAAAGAATAAATATGAGCCATGTCCAAATAGACTTGTGAAAGATATATCTCCTTTTTGAAGAAGCTAAATAGTGAGTTTTTCCCAGTAAACAAATTTAACTTGTTAATGTACATTGCCTAAATAGATGCCAACAATAGGTTTGCTGAAAATGAGTGCCAGAATTAAGACACTTGCCCAAAGAACTAAATATATCTCTGTTCAGCTTCACCTTCTCGAAACGAATAATCCTATTTAGAGTTAGTTTGAAGCAGATGAAGATCCTACCTTGGAGGATGGTGTGCACAGAGCAGGTAAGTCGCTGCTTAGGACACTTGCATTCTATGTTGAAGTGTTTGATTCAAATGCCGCTGATCCACTTCAGATCCAGCTTCCTGTTAATATGCACCCTGAGGCCTCAGGTGATATCTCAAGTACCTGGATCCCTGCTAACCATGTGCAAGACTTGGGTTGAGTACTAGGAGCCTGGCTTTGGCCAGGCCCAACCCTGGCTGTTTGGAATATTTGAAAACTAAATTAGAAGATGGAAGATTCTCTCTCTCTCTCTCTCTCTCTCTCTCTCTCTCTCTCTCTCCCCAACTCACATACACACACAAAAATAAAATGAATATAAATATTTTTTAAATAAGCTTACTAATAAATTGCATTATTTTTAATCCTGACTTGATCTGTTATAGTCTAGTCATCTCCTTTGAACATCCTCATCGTTTCAATGACTTCCTCAAACTTTTTGTTCTGTAATTTTTCAGGCAGGGCATGTCTGGGTATTATTGAAAGAATATTTCTACTGAAATCTTCATCACCCTGAAACTAATTACGCAGATTCACACATTCCACTTGGGAGACTTGGATGGATTCTTGGTTCTTGGCTTCAGCCTGACCCAGCCCTGGCTATTGCAACCATTTAGGGAGTAACAAGTGGATGGAAACTCTCTCTCTCTCTCTTTCTCACTCTCCCTTTCTCTCCCCTCTCTGACTCTCTCCATATCTCTTACTCTGCACTTTCCACAGACATAAATAAGTACTTTACTAAAAATAAGCAAATGCATACACATGCTAGGTGTTTGCTCTATTTTATATTTGCTCTCTTTTCAATCCTGCCAACCGCATGATGATTAATACAGACATGAAGGATATCATGAAGATAGATAGACATGTATGAAGGGAATTGAAGCTTCTGGTGCTGGAGCCATTTGCTAGGTGAAATTCTATCCACAGAATCAATGTTGACAAATACAAAGGGTGCAAAGACGTGTGGGCTATCTTCATAATTTGCAAGCCTTGAAGAGAGCAGACCCCAACCATTTTATCTCTGCTACTTTAATTCTCTGAGCCAGTAATCAAGGGGCTATGGTTCACACGACGCCTGTTCCCTCCCAGCTCTGATGTTTTCCAATTTATTCTGTCTTCTGTGATCCTAGACATAATTAGAACTGTACTTCTTTCATCAAAAATGATAAAAACTTCAGTTATACTTACTTTAGTCAGCAGACATCAAGCTGCCTTGAGGTTTTCTAAAGTGCATGGTATGGGTGTTTTTTGTTTTATCTTAGTGTATTCTTACAACTCATTCAGCAGTTGAAAAAAATGGAGCACTGTTACACACAACATTGATGAGCCTCAAATACATCATATGGGACCAATCCTGCCACCCTGTGCAATTCCTTTTTTAAAAACAATTTTGCTTTGTTTTTGTGGTAATCATGAAACAATACACTGAAGAATGCACTCAAGAAAGACCTGAGAGTTCAGTGAATATCCACAGTGGAGTTTTCATGGATATGGGTTATGCTCTTCTGCGTCTCCTTCCCACTCCCTCTCTTGGATTTGGCTGAGTGGAGGACTTCCTGGGCATGGAATCTCCAAGACTCATCACAGAACTCCATAATGGACCTAATAGCCCCCTTGGTGTGGAGTGGGGGAGATATCCCTAACATGCCTTTGGGAGAGGGTTGGGACCCACCCCATCCATGAACAAAGTTATTGAACAAAATGAATACTTGAGATATGAGATTGCTGCTCAGACTTGCTTCCACATTGCTTCCTTCATTCAACCACACAAAACTGCCATTCTTCTTTGGCCTCTGTCACACACATAGGTTAATGTCTACTTAGCTACTTTTATAAATCCATTTTCTGTAGCTTGCCATTTTACACTATTACTTTCAAATTGTATAAGAATAAATTAGAGCTTTTATTAATTCATGGGCATGCCTCAGACTCCCCACTTTTACAGTTTTCCCAGGCTGTTCTTGGATCACCATGGTCTATATCTCTGTTTAACAAAGTATCCTGAAACTTACGGCTTATATAACAAGTATTTGATTCTGTTCACAAGTCTGTGTGTGATATGGTGCTCCACTGACCTCAGTTGAATTTGGTTTGGCTTAATTCCAGACTTCACAATGGGGTTAGTTATGTCCATGTATCATTTATTGTTCCTATGCTTAAAATAGTATCACCTTGCTCATCTGAACAGACTGCATTCACTGTACCTGCTCTCTTTAAAAGAATAGGGCACACTAGAAAACTGATGGAATCAGGTAAACCCACTCAGGTACTACACACCTAGTAAAATTCTGGAGTACCTCACATATGATAAGTATTTTTGTACCCTAAATATGTATAACTAACAAAAAGGATAACACACAGGGGAAACATGAAAACTATATCGCATATATGGTGAAGCATTATATAAAAATTTGCTTATAAAAATCATACTGAGGCTGGCGCCACTGCTCAATAGGCTAATCCTCCGCCTGCGGCACCGGGACCCTGGGTTCTAGTCCCGGTCGGGGAGCCAGATTCTGTCCTGGTTGCTCCTCTTCTAGTCCAGCTCTCTGCTGTGGCCCGGGAATGCAGTGGAGGATGACCCAAGGCCTTGGGCCCTGCACCCGCATGGGAGACCAGGAGGAAGCACCTGGCTCCTGGCTTTGAATCAGCACGGTGCGCTGGCCGCAGCGGCCATTGGAGGGTGAACCAATGGCAAAAGGAAGACCTTTCTCTCTGTCTCTCTCTCTCACTGTCCACTCTGCCTGTCAAAATAAATAAATAAAAAAATAAATAAAAAATCATACTGAACCAGGGGCTAGAGGTGTAATCACTGGTTCAGAAGATACAGGGGGAAATGTTTACACTATTAAACAAATCATTTTTGCATCTGAAAAATGATAAGGATTGAAGGCTTCAACCAAAGTTCTATTAGTCTTCTTGTTACAGAAAAGTTGTAAAACTTCAAAGCTAGCAGCCAAAGCTGTGATCATACATGTGCTGAATAAAAGCCTTTTTTGTGATCAGACTGACCTTCAGTGGAACTGAGGGAGCTTAAGTTCTCATGATTCCTGTCTTATCTTCCTTTTACCAAGAGGAAAGTCTCGGAGCTTCTCTAATGATTGACTCCCAGGAAAGTTTGTGAACAGGCTTATGTTTATAAAGCCACTGATGGAAACTTAAATGCTAATTATACGTTACACTTCCTGATCTTTGAGTCCCAAGAAATCAGTCACCTGCTACATTAGACCTTCAATATCATCAGTAGACCCTGAGAGTCAAGCCTCTTTCGCAAAGTCATAGAAGAAAGATAATATGCAGAAATTTCCAATGGACTAACTTTAGTTAGTTCAACTGTAGCTTCTTCATGTTGGATAGCAGAACAAATGGAACATTTATTCTAAAAGCTGGTTGTTTCCATTAATTTGAATATGCTTATGTCATAAAATCATTAAGGATCATCTAGTATCAGTTTCCAAACCTGAGTTCCCAGGTGTGCCCTTGAACTCTATAAACACCAGAGGAAATTATTAGAAGTTTAAGAATTTGTATATCCTTAGCATTGGCCTACTTGATAAGAATCTCCTAGAATATGCTCTGTTATATTTTTAAAAAAATCTTAGAATTATTCTAGTCATCTTCCAAGGCTTTTAAACCTTCACTTTGTACCTCATTTTAAAATAAAGCAAACAAAGGCATGTAGAGACCAGGGAGCATATGCCTAAGGCAGGACAATAAACACAGATGTTTGGGGTTTCAAGGCAGGACTCATACTGCAGTTGCATCTTCTAATTCAGATGTCTGTTGGCTTTTTAACTTTTAGGTCTTTAATGCTATGGGTGCAACAACATCAGATATCAAGTTTGGGGTATTCTATTAAATTTTACCATGATTAATGCCTAAATACACATGTAGGAATATGGATAAATTGAGTTCTGGAGATGACATCAAAACCATGGCATAATCACAATCACTGATGTGTTTATATACAGTCAGAGAATACAGAAACATATGGTTTCTGGTGAAAGAAAAATGTATCATCAAGACAAACTGAGTTAATAGAGGAATGAAATGTTTGTCTAGAACAAGAAGATTTTAATGGGATATTACCATTGAAAAGGGGGAGCATAGAGAAATTAATCAGTCAAATTTCTTTATTGTTTTGGTAAAGAAAATGTGTACTAAGGAAAAGCTTTTGCCAAGATTAGAGGATGAAAACGATTATTTATCTTTTAAGCTTGTGTTTTATCTTTTTCACATTTGTATGCATCTCAGCTTCCATTTGTAGCTTGCTAGGCTACATTTTCACTGCGACTGTGTTTGGTTGACTTATACCAGAATGCATGAGATCAGAAAAGTTGTTTTTCATGTATTCTATCATTTGCACGATTTAAACACGTGGATGGCTCAATATGTTCCAGTCAGAGTTCTAAATCCAAGAAATAATCTGAAGTTCTCTGTAGTGAACTCTTAATCTTTAAAGAAAATGGCAAAAGAGGAGGATGAAACATAATAATGCTGAGTGAATGTGATGAGATTCTGATTTACCAAGATTTCTCAGCCATATATATTTCAGGATTTTTTTAGTCCTTATGTAATATTAAGGTGAGGGCCTGGCGCAGTGGTGTAGCAGATAAACCGCAGCCTGCAGTGCTTGCATCCCATAGGGGCAGCCAGATCGAATCCCAGCTTCTCCACTTCCAATCCAGCTCTCTGCTATAGCCTGAGAAAGCAGTAGCAGATGGCCCAAGGCCTTGGGCCCCTGCACCCTTGTGGGGGACCCGGAAGAAGCTCCTGGATCCTGGCTCCAGATTGGCTCAGCTCTGGCCCTTGCAGCCATCAGAGCAGTGAACCAGTGGGTGGAGGAATTTTTTCTCTTTCTCTTTCTCTTTTTCTCGCTTCTGCTTCTCTGTGACTCTGCCTTTCAAGCAAATAAATAAATATTAAAAAAAGAAATATTGAGTTGAAAATGAAAATAATACTCTTTCTGCCTTAGACTATGCTGTTCTCTGAAATTCTCATGAATCTTATTAGTTTTTTGTTTTTATTATCTTCACCATACAGATGAGTCAACCAAGGCTGAGAAAATATCAGGTTATCCAGCTTAAATTATTATTTTAAACTATTTGCTGTTAGCCTCCAAGAAAATCCTTCTTCTCCACAATTTCTTCATTGCAGTCTTTACTTCTGCATTTCTCAGTGTATAAATCAGGGGATTTAACATGGGGGTGATAATGGTGTAAAATACAGCCACCATCTTATCCTCTGAGAAGGTGGTGTCAGGCCGCATATACATAAAAGTGCAGGGACCAAAGAAGATGATGACCACAGCAATGTGGGAGCCACAGGTAGAGAGAGCCTTGCGCCTGCCCTCTGCTGACTGCTTTCTCAGGGACACCAGGATGACAGTATAGGAGATCAGCAAGATAACAAAGCTTCCCAGAGCAATAGTGCCACTGTTAGCTGTCACAACAACACCAACAGTGTAGGTATCTGTGCAGGCAAGCTTCAACACAGGGTGGACATCACAAAAGTAGTGGTCAATCTCATTGGGTCCACAAAAGGGTAATTGCACTACCAGAGCCACTTGAATAATGGAGTGTACAAACCCACCCACCCATGTCCCCAGCAACATTTTATTGCATCTCTCCCGGTCCATGATGGTCATGTAGTGCAGTGGTTTACAGATAGCCACATAACGGTCATAGGCCATCACAGTAAGAATGAAGATCTCAGTGCACCCAAAGAAATGCACCCCAAAGAGTTGCAACATGCACCCCACATAGGAGATAGCTTTTTTCTCTGCTAACAAGTCAGCAATCATCTTGGGAGAAGTAATTGAAGAGTAACAAATATCCACAAAAGACAAGTAGTTGAGAAAGAAATACATAGGAGACTTGAGCAGGCGGCCCAGGCAAACTGTCATCATGATGAGGAGGTTTCCCAGTAGAATGATGGTGTAGAAGAAAGAAAACACCACAAAACAAACTTCTTCAACTTCTGGGTCCTGAGAAAGTCCCCAGAAAATGAACTCACTGACATTGTTTATTTTTTCCATGGAATGAGTCCACAAGGCCAAGTTCCCAAGAGGCACTTAAAATTACCTGAAAGAAACATTTAAATTACTCACAGCATCCATTTCTAACTCATAACCCGTGGATGTTAGCAATAACTAATAATGGGATAACAGGTGATGACTGCTGATTAACTTGCATACTTAAAGAAATTGAAGTAAACCTATTTTTGTCTTTTTGCCTTAATAGAGAATTGCTTTCACTCATTTCAGATGAGGAAGTGAACTCCAAAGAGATAGCGTAAATATTCTCATGTTACCAAGTGACTGTCTTCACTTACCTTTGATGAAGTTTTATTCACTTGCTTCTAAAATTTGCTTTGTTCTTGTTTTGTCAACTTCTGCTTTTGGAAATATGGTAACAATTACATATCTTGAAATATTCTTGAGCTGGAAGTGAAAACAAGCCCCGTAAACTACCATGACCAAGCATCAAATTCACAGATGAGTACCAAAGTAAAGGAGACTGCGTAATATTTGCAAATTCTCCTTTTTATGAAACTCAGATCTTTGTACAAATGAATTTATGCCCCACACCTCTCTCAGGTTAGCCTTATAGTCAAAAGGTCATGTGGTAGAGTAGAAACAAGACAAAAGATTATACAAATCTGAGTCTGAAATAATAATACTGGAATTCTTGGTGAGTCCTTTAACTTCATGGAACTTCTTTTATCCTATTTAGAAAATAATAGAGTTGTAATTTTACTATCACCCATTATATCAGTTGTGAGTTCTACCATGAAATTAAATCACTTCTGCTGGCTCGAAATAGCCATAAGACCTTGATAGTAAGGCAGTTCTAAAAGAAGATAAAATATTGAAGAAATTTCAGGAGACAATTCAAGATCAGTTTGATTTGAAAGCATGAGAAGTGCCATCTTGGGTGATTTCTCCATCTTCAAGCTCAAATTTCTCAAGGCTTCCCTAGTATTGCTAAAGTAGTCAGTACAGGAATACCTTCTCTTGGGCATTATAAAATAATGATGACATTAATAAAAGCAGTAATAGTAATTTAATAATTCAAATGCAGACTTAAGCACACTTCCTGTTTTAAATGTCCATTCCCCTTTGGTTTTCCTGAATAATTTTATATATGTATATATATATATATAATATTCAAACACACACATATGTATATTATCCTCTACTAAGAAAGACTTGCAATTAAAGGGAGATCAAAGTGTAGCACTTTTTGGCAATCGTTATTGAAGTTTTTTGACTTCCATCTAGAAGAAACAGCCTTGACAAGACTTGGAACTGTTTCTCTGCTATCCATACTGCAGGATCCTAGAGGAATCATATCCCTTTAAACCAAGCTACCTCTCAAGGATGGATCCCCACGGCCCTGCTTTCTGAGTATTCAAGTAGGGTAAAGCCTCACTTTCTTTTGAAACCATTGCCTTCATATTTTCTTATTCAAAGTTACTTTACCTCCTGGTCATGTATAGATAAGTGTCATTATCATCTTTGCAATGACATTCTTTCCATTTACTTTATAATCACAAGTTTAATCCTCCATTAAATAAAGAACTCAACAAGCATTATGTAGAAAAACCACAGTTCTCAGGAATGGAATTATCACTATGCTCCTAAATATGTATAGATGAAATTTGTTCACTGTAAAAAATGGAATAAAATTAATTAAACTCAAAAACCTCAGTTGAATTCTCCTTTTTGTATATTCTGAACCAATTTAAAAAGAAATGAGATCTCACCAGTATTACCAGGTCTTGAGATTGCTTTATGTCCTCTCTTTTCTCGATATGATTTCAGTGCAGGTGTTCAAAGTCAAATAACACTGACACTTGAGGAACTGCTTTGTGAAGAATTAGTAGCGCAGAACCCCTAACCCCCAAAATTCAAAGGCTGGTGGAAATCAGTACACTTTATTGCTGGTTTTCTCACTTAACAAAAGCCTACATTCACAGATCCTTTGGCAAGTAATGCTGCTTTCTTAACTTCATATAAGGTCTATTTATACAGAATGATGCAAAATGATAATGACCATGGGGAAACCTTTTCCCTAAAGTTTTCCTCCATAGGTGAAGCCAAATTGCAAGCCTAACACTGATCTTTGATTTTCAGTACCAAATTAACAGTAAATAAATATTATTGCTAGATTTAAAACCCTACCAATTATAAGCTTAATCCACAAATGCAACAATGGTAGTAATTGTTCTTCCAATTCATGTGATTCAATATAACAATCTACTGTTTATTTAATATATAATAAATATGTTTTGTGTTAATATTGGATTTTATTTTTTTCCTTTTTTTAAATTTTATTTGAATGGAAAAGAGAGGATTCAATTTTGCTGTTAGTTTTCATTTGCTGTTGGGCTCCATTTCTTCCTGGTCCGGACTCTGCTGACTTCTGAACAGAGGTGGAATAAGGTTCATTTGTAGCCTATACTTGTGGCATTGACTTGTATTATTTACTTCTTCCAAAAATGTTACTTTTTTCATTTACCTTGAAATACAGAGAAAGAGATAGAGAGTTCCCATCCACTGGTTCACCTCCCAGAAGCCCACAATGATTGGGTTTAGTCCAGAGCTGAAGCCAGGAGCTGGGAAACCAATCAATGTCTCCCATGTAAGTGGCAGGAACTCAATTACTTGCAACTTTACTGCTGCATTCCAGGGTCTGAATTAGCAGGAAGCAGGAGTCAGGACCTGGATGCAGGAATCAAACCCAGGGACTCCAACAAGAAATGTGTGTTTGACCAGCATCATAAACACCCATACCTCATTTACTTTCTTGCTCTAAATCATTGGAGTTGACCCTTGATCACTGATAGTCTTGATTTTTCTCCCCTATTCCTATTATTTCTTTCCTGTTATGCTTACTTTTGTTCCTCCTTCTTATCCTCTCTTAACTTCTTTTTTTCACACAATAACCAAAATGCCAAGGACATTTTGTTCATATTCTCACGCTCATGAGTTAAAAGGGGAAATAAGTGAAAAATAAAGAGCAAGACACTAAGGAGTGTGTTTGGTTTTGTGGATACAATCAACAGGACTAAGCTATTGTATTAGTTTCCTATTGTTGCTGTAACGAGTTAACAAAAATGTATTAGCTTAAATCAATACAAATACATTGCCTTTGAGCTATGGAGTTAAGCTCAAAACTTACCTCACTGAACTAACATCAAGGCACTGGAAAATCTGAATCCTCTAGACACAAACCTTGATTCTTCCAGATTCCAGAAGCTTCCTGCTATCCTGTGTCCTCTTTCCTCCAGTTTCCAAGCCAACAGCGTAGCATCTTCAAATATCTCTCACTGACTCTGATCTCCTCTTCGGTCTCACTCTTCCTCTTTAAAGAACCTTTGTGCAAACATGTTTAGCTCAACGGATGATACACTGGTGTCCCATATCAGAGAGTCTGGGTTCAATATTTGGCTCTAGTGCTTGACTTCAACTTTTTATATTTTGAACATTGGGAGATTCAAATAATTGGGCTCCTACCACCTACCTAGGATACCTGGTTTGTGGAACCAGCTGCTGGCTTTAGCACTGACTCAACCAACTATTGTAGGCACTTTGATAGTGAACTGGTATATGGGAGTACACACTCCCCCTCTTCCTCCTCTTCTCCCTCCCCCTCCTCCTCTCCCTCTCATTCTATCTATCATCCATCACCCCTCTCACCCCTCTAAGAAATAAAGAAAAAAGACCATTGTGAATACTTTGGGACCACTTGCATAGTGTAGTTGCAGACTAACATCTTTGCTGTAAGGTCAACTGGTCAGCAAACCTGATTCCATTTGCGATCTCAATCTCTGTTTTATATGTTACAAACCATATTCACAGGTTCTGCCTATTAGTTAGTGCACATCATTGAGAGCCCCTGTTTTGCCACTACACTTTGTTGGTTAGCTGTAAAATCGTGGGAAAGTCACTCCACATTTTTCCTGACTCTGCAAGTTGTATTTTAGAATTTAAGTGATGCTTGAAACAACTTTTGGATAAACTATACATAATGTATTTAATGCAATAAGTAATATGCAGTTATTGACTTAGGAATCTGAGTAAGGAAGTCTATCTGATGAGAATAATCTCTTAGGTTGAAAAAGCCAGGCCAAAGCCAAGAGCCAGAATGTAAAGCTTATTGGCAGAGACCCGAGTATATGATCCATCATCTGCTGCTTCCCAGACCTACATGAGGAGGAAGCTGTGTCAGAAGTGTAGGTGGAACTCAGTCTTAAACACTCTGATATGAGACAAGGGCACTGCAAGCTGTAGCTCACTCCACTTTGCAGCAAGAGCCACACCACTGTTATTTTTAACACAATGTCTAGGTTTATATACAGGGTTATGACTTTCCTTATTGCTAATTCGTTCTTGAATTGCATACATTCCTTCTTGGAACATCAACCATTTCTACAAAAAGTAGGCACTATAACTCCTTTCAGTGAGAGGGTAGGTGTAGTTAACTGTCAGCCACTTTTATTATCTTTTGTTTTGTGTAACTGCACTGGACATTCCTCAAATCACTTTGCTTGAAAATAATACAGAGTTCAAGGGCAATAGTTTGCATTTAGCCTTTAATGTGCTAATTTCAATTTGTGTTGGCCTCACTCTGTTTTAAGCTATTATTGATTAGATGTATTTTCAATGGATCTAAGAGCAAATCCTTTCTTTAGTTGCAGCATTTTTTTCTAAATATTTTCCATTGTATTAGTGTTCTATGGAGAAACAAAATCAATAGGATATGCTTATGGTATGATCAACATGTATGTATTAATATGATATGTGTGGATCCCCAATATGAGACAAAATTGGTATAATATGTATACATAGGTAGAAGGGAATCTATTAGGGGAATTGGCTCAAGTGATTCTGGAAGCTGAGATGTCCCATGACAGATTGTCTGCAGGCTGGAAGTCCTACAATGCCAGCAATGTGGTTCAGTCCAAACCCAAAAGCCTCAGAGCGAGGAAGCTGAGGGTGTAACTCTCAGTTTGAAGCTGAATGCCTGAGTTCCAGCAAGAAAGTTATGCTGTCCTAGCATTCTGCATTTTGCAATAGCTCTTTCCAACCTAATTTCCTCCGGTAATTTTTAATTATGTGATTGCATGATTTGAGGAAAAAATTGAATATTCCACCATTCATTTTTTGACTCTCTATGTGAGTAGATCGATTCTAATTATATCAAAGACAGAAGCTGCTGGGAAGATACTATTTTCTATGCAACGTGTTGTTCATCTGTATGTGTCTGTCTTTGAATGTGTGCGTAGTGATTTGATGCTAGCAAAGTTCACAGGTTACCTTCTTACTCTGATACCTATGCCCTTCTTATGAACCCTCGGAAGCATATTCCTCCTTAGAAGCTAAATACAGAATTCATCAATTTTACCTCATCTACAAAATTACCACGTATGCTGCAGTGAAGATCCTGTTTGAAAAAAGTTCCCGATGATGATCTCCTATATATTACTCTACATAACACAGCATAATGATAAACCCCAGGGAGATTATCCAAGCTCCATTGCAAAAACCAGTGTTCTAGGAGGTCTCTTCATTTTGCCTATCATTGACAGGCAACTTTACTCTAATTTACATATTCCCTACCCCACAGTAATAAAGTACCAGGACTTTTCATATATTTCCATGGCTTTTATTTCACTAACTCTATAATTTTTTGATAATTCTTTTTAACTTGATTTTTTAAATTTTATGTCAGTGATACATTTGAAAAGAACGTCAATTCCAATTAACAAACACTTTGTAAAAATTTGTCATGATTTCAAAGCATGATTCAGAACCAATAGAAGGCATACTCAAAAATTTTGAAGCATGTTATATATCATGGCTCTAAATGGGAAATTGCATAGTTTAATTATCATATGTTAACATAATGAGGTACTAAACATTAATTTTAAAAATTCATGAGAAGTGACTCGGAAGACAGAAATTAAAGATTATAATCTATATCATTCTTACTCTACAAAGTGTAAGAACAAGTAAAATTAATTGAATTTAGAGCTTCATGCTGTGTTCCTTTTTGTAAATATCAGTTTTAAAGAGGAATGTGAAAGACTCCTAGTGTACTGCTAACTTATGCTCATAACTGATTGCTTATTACATAATAGCACTTGGTTTGCAAACATTCATGAGTTGTATATGGATGATAAATTCAATTTTCTGTATGTATACTTTGATAAAAGTTTAAAAATTAGAGGTGATACTTGATTCAGCTTTTCAGCATCGTTGGGCACCAAATGCATACATTACTTTATTGTTAATGCAATGCTATATTATTCTTTATTTTTAAGAAATCATTAACCTCTTTCTTCCTTCCTCCCTTCCATCCCTGCTTCCTTTCCTTTTTCTATATATAAAAAAGAGGTTTTGTGCATTCAGTAGGTACATTTCCAAGAAGATGACCACACTTCACTTCCTGTCTCTCTGCTCCAACCTCTCTCCCTCACTCCCTCCCTTTTCTTTCTTTCATCAGTTTGTAAAGATATCATTTTAATGCACTGTAATCACAGGCTTAATTCACCACTAACCATAATATTCACCACTAACCATGTAGGAAGACCATAGTTCCACAGGAGTGTAAACAAAGGCTACAAATGACAGTCATAGCACAGGAAGTCCATTTCATTTCTATCTTTTTATTATTCTCTATTATCTATATTATCACAGAAAACATACCAGATAAAATTTTTTTTGAATATTTTATTTATTTTTGTTTACTTGAAATAGTTACAGAGAGAGAAGGAGAGAGACGGAGAAATATCTTCCATCTGCTGGCTGGTTCACTCCCCAAATAGCTACCGTGGCCAACGCTCTGCCAGAAAGAAGTCAGGAGCCTTTTGCTTCTTCCGGGTCTCCCACATGTGTGCAAGGGCCCAAGCGTTTGGGCCATTCTCTGCTGCTTTCCCAAGTACATTGTCAGGAAGCTGGATTGGAAGTGGAGAAACAGGGACTAAAACTGGCACCCATGAGGCAGGTTCACAGCAGTGACTTAACCCACTAGGCTAACCCACTAGGACAGGAAGATGATGAGAACAGGTCTCTTCCACAGTTATGGCCTCATGAAACCATGTCATGAAGAGCAGTACTAATCACAAAACTTGCTTTGTCTTCAGGCGTGTCTGATGACACCACACCTTCCTCAAGGCATTCTTCATCTCCACATTCCGCAGCGTGTAGATCAGAGGGTTGACCATGGGAGCAACAATGGTGTAGAAAAGAGCAAACACTTTATCTTCCGGGAATGTTATGGCTGGTCTAATGTAAATGAATAATGCTGGTGCAAAAAACAGGACCACAACTGTTATGTGGGAACCGCAAGTGGAAAGAGCTTTGCTGCGGCTCTCTGCAGTGTATGCCCTGATGGTATACAGTATTAAAAAATAAGACAACATCAAAACAACGAAGGTCACTAAAGCAATTAGCCCTGAATTAGCAATGACTAAGAGGCCAATTATACGTGTGTTAGAACAGGCCAATTTCAGCAAAGGATACACATCGCAGAAGTAGTGATCTAGCTCATTGGGGCCACAGAACGGTAAGAAGATGGTGAGGAGAAACTGACTGGCAGAGTGCACAAATCCTCCAGTGCAACAAGCTATGATGATTGTGTTGCATCGTTGCCTGCTCATGATGACGGTGTAGTGCAGGGGCTTGCAGATGGCCACATAGCGGTCATAGGCCATTCCTGTGAGAATGAAGATCTCGATGCCTCCAAATAAATGAGTGGTAAAGAGCTGTAGCATGCAATTACTATATGAAATGGTCTTCCTGTCTGTCAGCAAGTCAGTCATCAGTTTGGGCGTCACTGTGGTTGTGTAGCAAAGGTCAGAGAGTGAGAGGTAATTGAGGAAATAATACATGGGTCGGTCAATTAGTTGAGTGCATGTGATAGAAATCATTATGAGCACATTTCCGGTCCAAATACCTATGTAACAAAATAAAAATAATACAAAGCACAGGATTTCAATATTCCTGTTTTGTGAAAGTCCCAACAGAATAAACACAGTGATGTTGCTGCTTTTTTCCATGATCTGGTGTAGACAGAACACATAAATCACCTGAAATGATATAATTTGTAATGTTGAGAAGTGTGGTGCTGATACTCCATTCTATGAACTAACTAGATTTCATTTATCATAATCAAGTGCCTCAGAGAATAAAAATTTGGAGTTCCATTTAAATGTCTTGCAAACAAGAGTCTCTGTCAACATAAACTATGTGATTTTCATTCATTCTTCCAGCAAATTGTCATCAATTCCTATCTCAGGAGGCAAGAATATCTTTATTTCATCAACATTATTAAATTTTTATTTTAGGAAATGTGTATTTCCAAAGCCAAAAATGTTATACATTAAATCTTTGCCAAAAACATTTCTGTTACTCTCTGGAACTCAAAATTTATTAAGGAACAGAGTATAACTCACACAGATTTTTTTTCATTGTGTAAAATTTATGCTGTCTTTACTAGTGGAATATACATGATCTTAACTCCATTTTTAGATCAGTAGCATAAAATGAGAAAATTCATAGGCAAATATTTTAAGATGGAAGACTTCTATTCAAGAAGCTGATGTGCACCTTTTGATTTTGTTGCTGTTGTTGCTACTTTCTTATTTACCTGCTTTCTCAGTGATCAGGTGAAAATTTGTGCTGACATTTTGAAATACAAGACTTGTAGTTCTACAGTTAATAAAATATGTTAGACCATGTAAGTTCAAAGGTGAAAAATAAAGCAGGTTGCAATTATAGTTAAAGTGGCATTAGCAAAGTATCTGCTCCTTTTAAATTATTTTTAATTCTGCATTTTTAAACTTTTATTTAATAAATACAAATTTTCAAAGTACAACTTATGGATTATAGCGGTTTCTCCCCTGTAATTTTATTCTTTTATAAATTCAAATATATATACATGGAACACTAAAGAATTAAGATAAGTAGTAAGCAAAATAAAATCTTACTTTCATTGCAAAAAAAAAAAATTAAAACAAAACTTAGTGAATTTACAAGTAAATGTGAGATTAGCTCTCTTAGAAGACTGTGGGAGCAAACTCTAGCAGTTAAAGTCAAGTAGTTAAAATTCCCAAATCCAACAAGAGTGCCTAGGTTTGATCCAAGGCTCCAGGTGCTGACTCCCATCTTCCTGTCAGTGCAGACACTGGGAGGCATTGGTGATAACTCATGTAACAGGAACTGTTAGGCATGTGGGAGATCTGGATTGCTATAACAGCACCTGTCTTCAGCTATAATCCTGCCTTAAAATGGTGTGGACATCTGCAAAGCAAACCATCAGATGAAAGTTCTGTCTCTCTGCTGTCTGCCTTTCTCTCTGTCCTTATGTCCCTCAAATGGAAAGTATAAAAAGCAATAAAAATGTTTAAAAGAAGAGTGAAAAAAAGGGAGTACTAAAGGTTTACCCTTTAAGGCAAATGAAATTGCCTTTAACTTTATTATAAAGGACTATGTATTTACTTTTTCTATATTTGGCAATACAAGAATTTTAATCAAACCCATAAATTATTCAGATGGTGACAAATCCATGAGAAAATGTGCTTATAGGAGACCAGTTGGAATTATAGTTTTTGTTATTTACATAGGACCATAATATATCTCCACCTTTAATGTCACTAATGCCATTTGTTTGATTATAAGTAGAGTGCAAGTAGATTTCTAACATGAAGTTTCTTTGCAAATTTTAGGCAACTTTATAGTACATTTCATATTTTAAATAATAGGAAAAATCTTTAAACTTTGCTCTGAGCAAATAAAATAACATTATAAAATTTTAAAAGTATTTTGAGCGAAACATCTCTTAATCCACCTTTCTGTTTTCCTCCTTCCATTCATTAGTGTGCGAATTTAACTTCAAGTCAAAAAAATATCATAACAGTGTGGATCACCTTTCATGTAGTAAACATGATACCAAACAAGTAGGACTTGATTACATTACAGTAGTGGTGATCATATCTGAAATGAGGCTGTCAGAGTCCTGGATGATGCTAAAATAGTGAATTATTAACAAAGTATTCCAACTTTTAAAAATACTTTTAAGTCTAATTTTATTATTATTTTTTCTGAGACATCCTCAGAATGCTGACCATTTCATAGTATACACTTTCAGCCCTAATCTCATAGTTGGTTTCTAAATTAAACTGTACTCAAATTGCCTCCAGATTGTATCATGCGATGGATTACATTAACATTGTTACTCACTTAATGAATAACTGCATTGTAATACAGACTGAATTTTATAACACACACTCATGCCCATAGAAGAATTTTAAGAAGTAAACTTAGATTGAGATAAAGTTTTAAGAAACTAATTCTGAACTTCCCTATATCAAACTATAACAGTAGCCTGCCATTATGAAGAAAGAGCATTGATTATATTTAAATAAAATACTATTTAATTCACTAGGGGTTGAATTATTTTCATTGATAAATTCATATGTATATGACTTAAAATGTACTGTTTATTCTTTCAAGAAGTTTATTAAAACTCTACTTGAATTTAAGCCTCTAAGTGAAGAAAAGCTCAAAATATGGTGTTCAAAGCTAATATATCCACATTTTTTCATTTAATATGAGCTCACTCAAAGTAAAACTTGCACATGACTAACTTGCACAATCCCTAATTGTTTTGGTTCATCAGGCTACAGCTGATCATTATTTAATCATTGTTTAAAATTTGTAGGAAATCCCAGTGAAATGTCTTAAATCTGCCACTAACCTTAGATATGTTCTTTGCAAATTCATTAATTCTTTTAAAAAGCTCTTTTTTCACTTGAAATGTAGGAAAATAGAGATTGGTGCTGAGGCTCAACCTTCATAACAGATGAGAAACATAACTTGATAAAATCTCAGGAAGTATCGTTGGGCTAATATTCATGCACCACAGAAAATAATAAAAATCACTTTAGGTTTACAGAGGTTAAGAAACTTGTACATGGTAACATATCTATTGCATACCAAGCTAGGGTTTAAAATTTAAGCTAACAACCATCTCAAGGCATGTCATGTCAAAAGGATCAAAGCTAAAACAATAGCATAAATGGAGCATTAACTGTGTCTCTAAAACCTGAAGTCTGTGTAGGTGTTTGTATCTGCCAGGCAAAACCCAAAGAATTCCCTGAATTTCATCCCCTTCCTTCATTTTCTCAAATCACATTCAAATGGGAAATATGTAAATAGAATCATGGAACTATAAATTAGGCCGAAGTTCTTATTATAAACCACAAATCAAATTGTTTCAGAATTCTTACACATATAAGCCAGCTCTAGAAAGTAAAAAATTTGAAGCAGTATATCTTTTATTATCTCTAAATAGATTGTGATTTTGCATTCTCAACTATTGGTTATATAAGAAAAAAACAGGTAGGAAAGAGAAATTTGAGTTCAAGCCTTAGCTGCCCCTCCTGAGAACCATCTATGCCTATTCACCTCCTTCCTGTAAAATGAGTGGACTAGCCTCAGGTACCTGAAAAGCATTTCCTTTCCCTGTGATGTCCTTTTAAGAATGCAATTTTCTTTCTCCTTGTCAGTTTTACTATCTCCCTGGAGTTAAATAGCATGCCTTTATTTTCAGGTGCAGTCTTCCAATAAATTAGATCATATTATCCTGTCAATTTGTTCTTATTTTTCTCAACAGACAACCAGAATCTCCCGGAATGTAGTGCTCTCTTAACCCAACAATATTCTGTCTATAGAACTTACAAGGCCGGCGCCGCGGCTCAGTAGGCTAATCCTCCGCCTTGCGGCGCCAGCACACCGGGTTCTGGTCCTGGTCGGGACACCGGATTCTGTCCCGGTTGCCCCTCTTCCAGGCCAGCTCTCTGCTGTGGCCAGGGAGTGCAGTGGAGGATGGCCCAAGTGCTTGGGCCCTGCACCCCATGGGAGACCAGGATAAGTACCTGGCTCATGCCATCGGATCAGCGCCGTGCGCCGGCCACAGCTCGCCGCTGCAGCGGCCATTAGAGGGTGAACCAACGGCAAAGGAAGACCTTTCTCTCTGTCTCTCTCTCTCACTGTCCACTCTGCCTGTCAAAAAAAAAAAAAAAAAACCTTACAGTACAGCCTGATTAAAAATTAGCTGCTATTTCCTATGCTTTCTTAACACCGGAGTTAAAAAGTCAACAAATATCACATATTTATGTGGATAATGGTGTGAAAAAAATAATTCATTTTCATTATTTTAGGTCTATTGTTTTCCTTTATAATCTCTTCTGTACTCATTTCTTTGAAGATACACAGTCAGTCCTTAAATACTTAAATTATTTCCCTCACAATGAGGGCTACTGAATTTTCACTTTCTATTTTCTCCAACATATGCATAAACAAATATAAAATTCATAGCATTTTAGTAACTCCTGCCACCTCTCACATCATCAAATCAAATTGAGTACAGGGGTATCTCATGGAAAACAGTTTGAACGCAGGACAATTTGGTTGCAAGAACTAGTCAAATCATAGTAAATTTAGAGTCTAATTATTCATGAGCATTTTAAGCTTCAAAAACAATTTAAATTTTTGGTGAATATTACATTCTAGATGATTTATTTTTATTTCCACTCAAAACAATGTTTACTTATTGAAAGTTAATTTACACATACCCACATACCCAAAGTTATTTTCACATACCCACATAAACAACTCACCATTTAGTATTCTTTTACATCCAAGGTTATCAGAAATAACATATAAGTAATTTTACAGCTCTATTATAAATGCCTCACAAAAAATAACATTGTAGCCAGTTATTGCAATCACTGAACCTCATTATTGCAATTACTGAAATACGCTGCTTAAGCAATTGGAGTTTCTCATTCCCATCTCTATTATCTGAGGAGGGCACTGCAGTCTCGTCCTTATGTTAAGAAGTGATATCCACCGATTCCCAAGTAGCATCTTCAGTCATGTTCTCTAGGGGAAAAGTATGGTAATTCCATTTATAGTGAATTCTCTGGAAAATGACAGACATATAGAACTTTCTTGTCTGTATGAATACATACAATTCTTAATAAAATTTCTGAGTACAGTTGAACATTCTGCAATTTTGCTGTTATGTAATTTTCAATAAACTTCCCTTTTTTCAGGGATTTCAAGCTAGTGCTTATTACCCCTGTGCTCTGTGAGCTATACTAATAGCAATGTGTAGTAAACATATTTGATGTCAGACATGAGCAAAAATCAGTATGAATGTTCTTACATATATTTCTAAAAAAACTATGATAAAGATGCTGTTACCAACTGCATTCTAAGACTGAAGAAACTGGAGCATATACAGTTACAAAGTCAAGGAAGTGATGTCCATGGGATACAGGTTACCTTTAGGGACAAAGCAAATTTAACTGTGGAAGGATAGGTATACTATTTCTTGTTATAGAAAGAAGTTATTTGTGAAATTTATTCATTGTTCTGTAAATTTTCTCAGTGTGCTATATTTAATAATTAAAAGATTGAAATGATAATGTATAAGATAAACTGTGATCATAGATCATGATACTGAAAATTGACTCATGTTGAAAGTTCGTCAATTATCAAAGAATTCTGAAAGATTTACTATGATCAATATATTTCCTATATATTTGCTATATATCTCTCCAAATCTTGCTTCAGTCAAAGTGTTTATATTGTCTTAAGATATTAACATTTTCTGGCAGGGGTTGAAACACTAGGGCTATCATCCCCTACTTTTCCCAGGCCATTAACAGGGAGCTGTATCAGAAGTGGAGCAGCTGGGACTCGAACTGTCATCCGTATGGGATGGTGACATTGCAGGGTGGCAGCTTTACCTGCTACGACACAATGCTGGCTTTAGAAAAAAAAAATTTAGTGCTTATCTTTGAACAAAGACCAGTGATTGTTTAATCCATGAGCTAATTTAATCAGAACGTATAGATTGGTAGGAAAAAAGTTCTCTTTCAAATGTTTCCCAGCAATATTTAGATTTACCAAAGCAAAGGTGATGATTTTTCAGAAAAGAATTCTAAATAATGCAATATTTTTACTAGTAACTTGTCAAAAGAATAATTTTCAAACTCCTCTCCTTTTTAAGAACTTTATTTGAATCCTCTTTATCCTTTCTCCACTTTATAGTTTTCTATAAAGTATTGCCAGGATGATTGTAATTATGCAATATCTTCTCTATTTCCTAGAGATAATTTATCATTGTGCCCTATTAGGATACAAATAAACACAGTTTACCACATCTTCTTTTGCTTTATCTAGAAATTCTATCTCAAATATCTCACTTTCATGATAGCTACACAACAACTATTAGTCTGTATGTCTACATTTGTTTTGTTTGCTTTGGCCATTATATGAATATTCCTTACACTTCTGTCCTATTCTTAGGAAAGGTTTTGATTCAATACCTTGCTCCAGCTCCTGATCCCAGCTTCTTTCTAATGCAGACCCTCGGAAGTTATAGTAATGGCTCTAATAATCGGGTTCAGCCACCCACAAAGGAGACCTTGGTTGCATTTGTACACCCTGAAGCCATTGTGGACATTTGGGGAGTGAACCAACAGATGGGAGTGTGTTCTTTCCCCCTCTCTCTCTGTGTTTCTCAGTTTCTTAGTACAATAACTAATAATTGTGTTATTAATTTATTGTATTTTATGATTTATTCCATAAAATATATTATTACTCTTAATAATATCCAGATAACAACAAACATAGTTTACATAATACTAAGAATTTTTATATTAAAATATATGTCACTTATACTGGGTTCAAATTTCCTTTTTTCAGTATGATCTAGTAAAAATCTGAATCTTCTGGGTAATGAGTTTTTGTTATATAATTCCCAAATCAACCAGCAAAAGTAAAAGCAAACAAATAATATTGTATATTTTTAAAAAGCAGCAGAGGGAAGACAACAATCTTTCAGTGGAGAGGAAATATTTGCAAACATCTATGTAATGAGATATTAATATTCAAAACATATAATTCCAAAAGCTTAATACTAAGAAAACAGATAACCTGGCAAAATACTTGAACACTTTTTTTTCCAAAAAAAATATGTAAATATAGCCTGCAGGTATATGAAAAAAGTGCTCAACATCAATCAACAAGGAAATGGAAATCAAAACTAAAATGTGATATCATCTCATACCTATTCAAATGGCTACTATCAAAAGAGAAAAAATACCTATTGGCCAACCTGTGGACAAAAGGAAACAATTGCCCACAGTTGTTGGGAATGTAAATTAGTTTATCTAAAACAGGATAGATATTCCTAAAAAAATTAAAAATAAGAGGTGAGCATTTACTTAATAGTTAAGATGCCCATATGCAAGGCCAGAGCTATGTTGTAGCAAGTAAAGCCACTGCCTGCAGTGCCAGCATCCCATATGGGCACCAGTTTGAGATTTGGCTGCCCCCACTTCTGATCTAGCTCTCTGCTATGTCCTGGGAAAGCAGTAGAAGTTAGCCAATGTCCTTGGGCCCCAGCACCTGCATGGGAGACCTGTAAGAAGCTCCTGGCTTCTGCCTTTGGATCAACAGCTCTGGCTGTTGCAGCCATTTGTGGAGTGAACCAGCCGATGTCTCTCCCTCTAATTCTCTGTAACTCTGTCTTTCAAATAAAGAAATCTTTTTTAAGAAAAGCCCATATCCTACATCACAGTGTGTGGGTTCAATTTCTGGCTCTAACACCTGGATCCAGCTTCCTTCTAATGCAAAGAGGTTTATAGTAACGACTCTAGTGATTGGATACTGCCAGTCACATGGGGAAAGACCTGGGTTGCATTTCCAGATCCTGCAGCTATTGTGGCCATTTGGAGAGTGAACAAATGGATGTAAGTCTCTCTCTCTCAATCTCTCTCTCTCCATGCATGTGTGTTTCAGCTTTTTTTTTTTTTTAATATTTATTTGAAAGTCAGAGTTACACAGAGAGAAGGAGAGGAAGAGAGAGAGATGTCTTCTATCTGCTGGTTCACTCCCCAGTTGGCCACAATGGCCAGAGCTGCACCAATCCAAAGCCAGGAGCCGGGAGCTTCCTCCGGGACTTATGAAGATGCAGGGGCCCAAGGCTTGGGCCATGTTGTACTGCTTTCCCAGGCCATAGCAGAAAGCTGGATCAGAAGTGGAGCAGCCGGGACTGGAACCTTCACCCATATGGGATGGGCACTGCAGGTGGCGGCTTTATCTGCTACGCCAGAGCACTGGCTCCTCAGTTTTAAAAAACATTAACTAGAACTAACATGTGATCCAGCAATCTGAGATCTGAGCGTATACTTATAGAAAATGAAACCTGTATGTTGGAGAGATGTCTGCATGCCCATGGTTATTGCAGCTCTACCTATAATAGCCAGAATATGGAAGCAATGGAAGTGTCCATCAGTGGATGAATTAATAAATAAAAGTTCATAGGTTTTTGCAATATATCAAGAGGTAAAACATTAACAGAGAGATTCATATTACTAAGCAAAAATACTGCTGATTTTATGTTGTCTCTGGCTCTCTCCCTGACAATGGAAAATGACGAATTCAGGCAAGGAACTGTGTGAAGCAAATGCATGTACTCTGCTGACAAAAGACAGGTGACTAGACCGAGAGAGATGCATGCCAAGTGGGCACCAAGACAGAATTGAAACTGGTTGAAGGGGTTTGTAAAAAATGAGATTCAGTGATAACTAGAATGGTAGTGTCCCCTCCATGAAGGAAAAAAATTAGAAAAAGTCATTACAGTAAGCTGCAAGTCAGTTGGATTTCATTTCTTTCCCCTCCCCACACCCCCCCCCAAAAAAAATCTGGGCTTGGATTCAAGTTAAATTTCTGGCTTTTCAGTCATCACTCATTTTATTCTTTTTTTTTAAGATTTTATGTATTTATTTGAGAGGTAGAGTTACAGACAGAAAGAGGGAGAGACAAAGAGAAAGGTTTTCCATCTTCCTGTTCACCCCTCAAATGGCTACAATGGCTGGAGCTGAGCCGATCTGAAGCCAGGAGCCAAGAGCTTCCTCCAGGTCTCCCACGTAGGGGCCCAAGGACCTGGGCCATCTTCTACTACTTTCCCAGGCCACAGCAGAGAGCTGGAACGGAAGAGAAGCAGCTGGGACTAGAACCCATATGGAATGCCAGTGCCGCAGACTAACCTACTGCACCACAGCGCCTGCTCCTCATTTTATTCTTAAGAAACAAGGAGCATAAGGATTATTCTAGACACACGTATATCATATAAACAATCAAATAAAAAGGAGGCATTGTGCTTAAATTGTTGTTAGAAAAACTTTTAATTTTTTGAGACAAACAGATGTGCCACATGTAATACGCCCCGTTCCAGTGGGAATAACTTCTCTCTTCTATAAACAAGGAAATGAAGTTTCCTCAGTAATATAATTGGTGATTTTCTTCACACTTCCAACCTTGGTCAATTGTCATTTTTTTAGAAGAGAAATTTAAATTTGACAATATTTTTTTCTTCACTAGTTAAAATTGCTGCATGATTTTTCCTGCTCTTTTTCTTCTTTGTACAGTGCATGCAGAAAGATTCAAAGTGTAATACATTACCTAGACAACAACTCTTTCCATTTTTAAATTATCTTTATTTTCATATAAGCCTATTAGCCAGTCCATTGTGTCTTATTAAATGTGCTGTGTCCAATAAGAGACACCTTTCAATCCTATTAACAAGGCAAAAAGAAAAGACATTTTATACAATCTTAATGGGTTTTCTTGAACACCTTTCTCACAAGTTTCTTCTTCAATGTAGTTGAAGATGATTTGCTTTATCTATTGAGCCAGTATACTTGTTAGTTGCTCGATTGGTTGGTGTTTAGACTATATCATATTGCTGTTTTACATTTTTCCTTATGTTATCAGACAGTTTCTTTGTTTATGAATGCATCTTTATTGTGTTCCATCAGTCCTTTAATTTTAGGCAAATCAAAGTAGGACTCCAATTGTTTTAATTTATTTTTTAATCCATGTTTATGTGAGACACACACATAGAAAATTACAGAAAGAAGAGAGACAACAAGCTCCCAACCTCTACCTCATTTCTCAAATTCCTACAATGGCTGGCATGTTTATCACTAGGCCAAAGACCACTCTCACTTGTATTTTAAAATGCAATCTCTTTAACTTTTAGGAAAAAATTTACTTTAAAACTAGGGCCAACAGGTGGACTATCCATTACTTTCTGCATTCTCAGTTTTTATTTTCACTTCGTGTTCACCATTTGTTATTTTTCCCTATAGGAAGACAAAAGAGTTGACACTACAAATCATTTTAAAATAAATTCTACAATATTGATTTATTTGTTGCACCACTGACTTCTCATTGCCAGTGGAGTTAATATCTGTGAAAATCTTTTCATAAATTTGAATATTGTATTACAATGACAGAATTCAACCTCCTCTCAACCATAGAACCAAAGACCATCTGTCACTCATGGCCTGGTCCCAGTCACTGACTTTTTAAATAACATTATTGCTAATTTGTTTGCCTGATAACTCACTGCACAATGTCACATTGTGTTACTGTCTTTAGCCCTCCTGATACTTTTCTTTTTAACAAGGTAACCCTACTTGCTTTACCTAAATATTCCAGCAATTAACTTTCCAACTCATTGTGGCATTGTAGAATTAATATTTGGTATTAACAACTTTAATGTTCCAAGTTTTATCCATTTCATTCCTTGGAAAATAACATGTTATACCAAACTCTTCTCATGACATTTTTCATCTCAGCATTTCTTAAAGTATAGATTAAGGGATTGAACATAGGAGCAACAATGGTGTAAAATAGAGCAAAAATTTTGTCCTTGGAGGAAGTGGTTGGAGATCTCAAGTAAACAAATATTGAAGGTCCAAAAAATAAGACAACCACAGTGACATGAGATGCACAAGTGGAGAGGGCTTTGCGTCTTCCCTCAGCTGAATGATTTCTTAAGGTGAATAATATGATGACATAAGAAACAAATAACACAACGAAGGTAACCAAGGAGACCAGACCTGAATTGGCAACCACAAGGACTCCTGTGATATAGGTGTCAGTACAAGCAACTTTTAGCAAAGGAAAAATATCACAAAAATAGTGATCAATCTCATTAGGACCGCAGAAAGGTAACTGGAATGTCATAGATAATTGAGGAAAGGAATGGACAGCTCCACCAACCCAAGCAGCCAGGACTAGGAGATGGCATTTTGCTCTGTTCATGATGATCATGTAATGAAGAGGCTTGCAGATGGCAACATAACGATCAAATGCCATGACAGTAATAATGAAGATCTCAATACCCCCAAAGAAGTGCATGGTAAAGACCTGCAGCATGCAATCACCATAGGAAATGGTTTTTGTCCCTCCTAGTAGGTCACCAATCATTTTAGGTGTAACACTAGAGGTGTAGCAGATGTCCATGGAAGATAAGTGGCTAAGGAAATAGTACATTGGTTCATGAAAAAGAGGGCTGCGTAGAATGGAGACAAGAATTACAAGATTTCCCACCAAGATTGCAATATAACAGAATAAGAAAAGTGCAAAACAAAACATTTGTATATTATGATCATAAGAAAGTCCAAGAAGAATGAACTCTGAGATGTTTCTCTGAATATCCATATATTCTAGGGCGGTATGCATAATGTACAAAAGAGCAACTACCTAAAAGAAAACATAAATTTAGATGAAAAGTTAACATCAAGACCATTATAAAATTAAATATATTATAGTGCAAGGGTACTACAAAAGTTCAAGAAAAATAGAATTAAAAAGTCAGTTTGTATTTCTGTGAAAATTTCTTATATTTATTCCTAAGTTTTTTTATAACACATACTTTCCATAAATATCTGAAGATCACTTTCACTCATGGACTTCTAAATCTTTTTTCACAAAATAAATGTGTCTTTTTCTCTGTACATCTTATAAATGTCTCACATGTTGGCATACAGAATTTTATGTTGTTCACAGCACAGTTTAGAGAAATATTTTTTCTATTTTATATGGTTATACTCATTTTATAAATCTGTCACAGAATATTTCAATGAGAATAAAGCTTACATTTTACAAAATTTTTAGTAATCATCTAAAATATTTAAATAGTTTAAGGGTAATTAACATTTTATTATTGGTGGTTAAATTGTTTGGACAATAAAAGCCTATTCGCACTAAAAAGCTCTCTGTGTATTTTTCTAAATGCGTGCCCCATTTATGCAGTGAGTTTTGTTTATTCTAACATGATCTAGTCAAATTTACTGAATTATCTAAGAATAAATATCCAGCCAATGAAAATGTATTTAAGAAACACAGCTTGAACGCTGCGCTTTGTATGTTTGCAGCTTTCTGGTTTTTTGTGAGCAAACAATGAATGTGTGAACTAAACTCTGGTAATCGGCCCTGTATTAAAAAACAAAGAAGGTTGAATCTATTCAGTAAAAAAAATAAAGGAACAATACCAGTTAATGAGTGATGTTGTGAAAAACACTTAGCAAATTTGTTTTTATCTTCTTTGTACATTTTGATTTTAAAGACCCTTTTAAAATAATTTATAGCTTGTCAAGCTTGTGATGACATTTAGTAAAGGGAGGATAATATTTCTACCCTGCATAAGTATATTTCCATTGTGCATATGTCATGGCTTTTACCAAAAGTTTCATATATTTTATATACAATCAAGAAACTAAATATCCATAAAAGGAGATAATCCAGAAGAAATTTTCAGACAAACCATGTGGTTGGTGAGCACTCAGTGATTTTTGTTATGTAAGTGAATAAATGACAAATTACTAAATTTGCAAGTTTTCTATGTTATGCATAATTGCAAGTTAAGTCAATGTTTAGTTATTAAAAAAAAAAAACATTTTCCAGACAACATCAACTGTATTGGAAAATACTATTAAAAACTTCAGTCATAATGATAAAGAGCATTAGGGAATATTTGCAAAGATAGCAACACAGAAAGTGGTAAAAATATTGAACAGCATAAAATGCACTGTCTAGTTATGATCTCTGAACTAATTGCTTATTTGCTATAAGCCCAATTTTCCTCATCTATACAATCCAGCTGTCATGATATTATTCAGTGATGCAATGAAGAATATATGAATTATGAAATACACGAGTGACCTAAGTGGACCATAATACACAGCTATTTTTCCTACATTCTCTTCTTTCGGAGAAGTTCAGCAACTACAGAAATTGCCATGCATACATACACAACCAAGTCCAATAGTAAAATATTGAAAATATTAACTTATGATTAAGTAAACTTCAATGTTAATCAACTGTTAGTTAAAAAAATAATTTGTTTTACAACAGATTGGTCACCTGGCCATTGCTTAACATAATCAGTAATTTACTTTTTTACACTATAGAAATATGATTACTTTATTAATCATTTTATTTCTTTCTTTATTACTTTATTCGTAAGTAGAATTTAATAAAATAAATTCTGCACTGACCTTTGAGGTATGTTGTCAACACGGTTTTATGTTTAAAGTTCAGTCTCCACCACATATTGAAATATGTTCTGAGTGTTCAGAATGTAGCATGCTATGAACCTACCTTAGGTGGCTTACACAACACTAGTCTATTTCACGATGTCAGTTTTTTTTGAATGGAGATTTCTTGCTATTGTAGATGTTTGAACATAAACCGGGGCTTTTCTTAACAGGAATATGGAGAAATAGACACAAATTTGAAGACAGGAAACAATGACATTCACTGTTAACGTGAAATGCCTTTAACAACAAGTCTATTTTTTCCTGGAATTCGGCTTATACATAATGTACAATTTAAACTATACTACATATTTTATAGTAATCAAGTTATGCACCTCAAAGGATGTCACAGTCCTTCAAATGAAATTATATATAAGAAATATAAGTAACACATATACAGCCTAGCACCTGGTTCGTGAGACTCCTGACAAACCAAGACAGCACACTGACTCTCAGGTCTGAGCGGCTGTCAGGTTAGTTTTATACAGTGATCAGGGAATATTCAGTCCTCAGATATTCACTAAGGCATTGTTTCTGGTGCCAAAAAAATATAAAGTACAATTCATAGAATTAGAAAGCAGTCGTTTAAGTTATCCAAATTATCTGAAAATATTTTTGAAATCTCAATATTACTTAAACTGTCCACAGGTTGCCCGTGGGAATTCACTGTAAGCACCAGTAATGCAGGAGAAGTATACATGTGTATCGATCAATAAAGCAGACTGGCAGATTTGAAGCCTGTTCAACGTCTTAACACTGGCACAGACAAAAAAAAGAATCAGAAAGTGTTTTGAGATTCTTTCAAAAGCTACCATAGACATTTTAAGTTTTAGGGTCACCTATTTTAGACCTGCACTAGAAGAAAATTTCTTCGGGAAGAACAGAATATAGAGTGCCAGTGAAAGAACAAACAGGACTTTGAAGGCTCTATGAAGTTGTGCTCCCAGCAGCATTACAAAAAAAATCTTGGCTACATGCTGCTCAACCACTGTCCACAGTAGCATCCCTGCTGTCTCTGGGTGTTTACTTTGCACTTTGGGGTTAGTTTGGCTAAGGTACTATTTCCCTGGAGGACCCAAAATGCAGTAGTCAGAGCTGTTCAGCAAAATGCCTACTCTGTACCCCTCCACATTTCTTGAAAAATAGAAAGAAAAATAAAATATCTAGAATCGTGTTGTATTATCTGGTAGAAAAATCTGAGGTAAGTATAAAGAACCAAAGTCAAGTATATACAATCTACAAATGGCCTGTTATCTAGATCACAGTCACATAATTTGATAGATCAACCAAACAATGTACCCTGAGATCATAGCTGGCACCAAGCTACTTGTTTCCAGGTGCTGCTCCTCACAGGGCAGCAGGTCCGATACAGCTCCTCAGGGCCAGCCTGTGGAGCTCTGGGGCCGAGTTGGATGACGGCGGCAAAGGAATCACACCAGAGCCAGGAGATCAGTCAACACCCAGGGTGCAGCTGGGTTCTCAACTTTATTGGGAGGGAAAGAGCTTTTATAGAAACAGAAAGGGGGCTGTCCAGTGCACAAGGGAACCGAGCCAGCCAGCAGAAAGGTAAGGCAGGACACACGCCTGGCATGCCCTCAAGGGCCAATCACAGCCAAGGACACATACTGTCCACAAATATGGAAGTCTCCTGTCAGGCTAGTTACCTCCCCTGGGGTCCATCTTGGATTGTTGGAAATGCTGAGTCACTGGGATGCAGAAGTGCGGCAAAGGTTTAGCGGCCTTGTTGAGTGAAGGCTTAGCAACTTTGCTTCCTTTTCGATTGGAGCCCCCTGCATCCAGGGACTAAAATTGCTGGACTAGATGACTGGAGAAAGGGGGAAAAGAAAAGGAAAACTAAAAGGATCAAAATTTTTCCCACATAGTGGGCAGAGGGTACAGGATGCACGATCCACAGGACAACTCACAGGAAGATAACATTCAAAGGTTCAGCAAAGCTTTTATTCTGCTTACCAACGAATTCTTCAATGGACTTTCATGGTTGTGTAGTCTCAGCATCATCTGTGCACACTGAGGCACATTTAGTCTCTTCTTATTATACACAAACCCACACATTTAAAATTACTCCCTGCATTCAAAACTCCAGGAAATCAAGTTGTATACTCTATGGTAAAGTTTGGATAAAACTATGTAGAAAAATCATGATAATAATTTTTTGAGAAATAGTTTAGCTATCTAAGATCATTATAGTATTCTATACTTATAAAATATAATTTAGACATAATTTTTAACTGTATTGTCAAATGACAACACCGAAGCTTCTACATAACTATCCCAAAAAACTAATAATCGTTAGAAGCATGGAAAATGGCTATTTCCATAGTGCTTAGTCTCAGGCTTTGAAAGCTAAGTATCCTCATAAATGAATTCCAAAGCCAGGAGCCGAGAACTCCATCTAGGTCTCCCTGAAAGGCAACAGATACCCAGCTACTTGACCTGTCACCTGCTGCCTCCCAGAATATACAGTAACAGGAAGTTGGATTGGCAACATAGGCAGGACTTGACCAGGTACTTCAATATAGGATGCAGGCACATCAGGTAGTGGTTTAACCTGCTGTGCCACATCACCCCACCCTCCAAGTTGGACTGAACTAAACCACAGAGCACAGTTTATCAGATCTCCAACCCCCTCTCCATACAAAGATGAACACTGGGACACTCTGTGGAGATAAACAGATGTTGCCTTTGTATCTTCAGATCTTGAATCCATCCCTAATCATGTAACTTGCTGTGTGGCAACAATTTTAAATTTGAGGAAGTGTAATTTATCATCTATAAAAGATCATATGTTTGGCCTTCTACTTAACCATTACTGGCCTAACCCAAGGTCACAACAATCTTCTACATTTTTTTCTAAACACTTACTACTTTTGTATTGTAAATAAGGGCCTAAGATCTATTTTGAACTGACTCTACACTAGGTTGGATATATAGATAGAACATATTTGGTTTTGTTTTAGGGGAAACAAACATCTACCACTTTCCAATGTTGCAGAAACCTTCTTTTCTGTCAATATTTCTCATATGCCTCTGTAGAAAAATTGTTGATTATCTGTGTGCATGCTGTTACTGGATTCTATAGTCTAGCCCACTGATGTATTAGTGTCTGGTTTTCTTTTAAGACTTATTTATTTGATTCTAAATCAATCCCATCAACGTGGCATGTACCAATGCCATCTCACTAGTCCAAGCGATCAATTTCAGTTCACAATTGATCACACTGATAGGTCTAAGAGTCAAAGGGATCACACAAACAAGACTAGTGTCTGTGAATACTAACTGATAGAATCAAAGTGGGATACACAGTAGACTCATAGAATGGCAGATGTCCTAAATAGCACTCTGGCCTCAGAATCAGCCCTTAAGGCATTCGGATCTGGCTGAAAAGCTCATGAGAGTATTTTAAGCATGGAAAGCCAAAACACCCTGGGAAAAAAAAAAAAAAGAAGAAGAAGAAGAAGAAGACGACCGAAATGGAAGATCTCAGTGAGTGAGATCCCAGAGGAAAGAACAGGGCCATCAAAGAAGGAGGTACCTTTCTCTGAAGGGAGGAGAGAACTTCCACTTTGACTATGACCATGTCGGAATAAGATTCAAGTCGGTGAACTCAAAAGGCTTCCATAGCCTTGGCAACTCATGACTAGAGCCTAGGGAGATTACTGACACCATAAACAAGAGTGTCAAGTTGTTAAGTCAACAACAGGAGTCACTGTGTACTTACTTCTCATGTAGGATCTGTCCTTAGTGTGTTGTCCAATGTGAAGTAATG